TCGGAAGGGTGCTGTTTCAGCAGAGTCGTCAAGACTTCAAGTGAAGGTGTCTGGCTTGCGTTGGTCGGATATGGGGTCAGACTATATTCTTAAGGCGAAGCACCAGTCACTACGTTCTGTGCACGCCGTGCAATTTCAGGTCCGGACTTGGCAAACCACGATGTGCGAACCTTAACTTGGGCGTTCCAGGGCATTGCCCTTGACCAGCCGATTTTTGAAGCCTGTCAGTCGTCTGCTGCAGCGAGCAGTGAGCTTCGTACGGTCCCATTCTCAACAGCCACCCTTCCAAAAGTGTCTGCATTCTTTAATTTAGGGGCCTAGGTAATTGCCAATACTCTTTTTGGGGGCTCCTTAGTATAATTTCAGAATAATGGGGGTTCCCTATTGTACTTACAGTATAATATATTCAAAAAACCCTATATTATGTTTCAGAACTTCAAGGCTCAGCAGCTGCACTTCTCCGAAGCGACGCTGGCAGCTCTCGAGGCGGCTCAGGCGAAGAGCGAGGTGCGCTATGGGAAACCTAGAGCCTAAACCCCTAAACCCTAAACTTGAGAGTGGTCTTCTTCTCGTTTTGTTGTCGTGAGGAAGTTCAGAGGGGTCCGTTAGTTCGCAACTGAGTAGGTCAGGAGATTCAAGCTGGTGGGGTGGAAAAGGACCGCAGCTTTCCTGTGTTTTCGCTGGTACAAGCTACCGAGTGCGAAGTTGGACTGTAGAGCTGCAGGATGTAGTTTTTTAGGGCTCAGGATTTGTTGGCGGTGATTTGCAACTCGCGTTTAATGCTGACCGCCGCTCCTTCACAGGAAACCCAGCCCGTCTTCGCCCCGCCACCGTCGCCGAAGTCTCCATCGCTGGCTTCGCCAAGGGCGCCCTCGCGAGGCCTGCCCGTTCCACATTTCAAGAACTCGGGCTGGGAAATCACGAGCCCGAACGTCGCTTTTCAGAGCCGGTCTTCAGCACTCTGCGTCTAAATCTAAAGTGCATTCACTCAGATCCATAAAGCGTCCGCAAAGATGTTGCTGCCGATTCTACGCCTCCTTCGGCACAAGGGGAAAGCCTAGGACCAGCTGCGTGAGCTGTTCGGGGTGCACCCACAGAAGCTCCAGTCTTGTCACCGCTATGGCAAGACAATTAGTGACGTTGACACCAAGCGTCCTCTTCAAAAGGCGGCAAGCGCGAGCGTGGCGAGCGTGTCACTGTGGACGCCTCGCAGCTCGCAGCAGAGGCTGCCAGAAGCCTAGATGACCACAGCGGCTGGCCGCCGGGTAGAATCTCTTGGAGGGGCTAAGCGATGCATCACCACGAGGCTCAGACCTTGGCATCGGTCCCGTCCGATGAAGCAAAGCCGAAAGCGATGACGTGCCCGAGGATGCAGAAAGCTAAAGGGGGATGCAGTCTTTCCTTTGTTGTGACGAGTACAACAGCTTCTGCTGCTGCTGCTGCGGCTGCTGCGGTAGTGATACCAGCACAGTGGTGACAGCAACCGCAGTCATCCCACTCACCATCACCATCGCAGCGGACAGCGCCCTCCGCAAGTTAAGCATTGTCGTTCGAGTTTTTGAGATGGCCCTGGCACTGATGTAGATGCTCCTTGCTGATGATATCAGAATGTATACTAGTTTATATCAGTATCTTTATCTATGTTATGTGTATCTGTATCTTTATCTGTTTATATACATATACAGATATATATCTATGTATATCTATATCTGTATATCTACATTTCTATTTATCTATGTATCTGTATACCTATATATCTATATATCTATATATCTATATACCTATATATCTGTATATATATATATGCATATATACATATATATATACATATATATATATACATATATATATATATATATATATATATATAGATCTATGTAGATCTATAATCTATATCTGCATATCTGTAAATCTGTATATCTGTATATCTACATATCTACATATCTATATATCTATATATCTATATATCTATATATCTATATATCTACATGTCTATATATCTATATATCTACACACCTATATACCTATATGCCTATATACCTGTATACCTATAAATCTACATGTACATCTATATCTATATCTACATATATATATATATATATATGTGTATATATATACATATGTATATACATGTATATACACACACACACACATCAGCTGAAAGCCTGAGGCGCACATTCGACATGGCAATGGTCTCCTTCTCAGACGCTGGTGGAACATATGCAGGAATCAGACACGTGGCGAAACAGTTAGAGAACCAGGAAATTAACTAGACTAGCACTTTGAGATTGTTTCAACCTCCGAGGGTGCGGCGAAGTCGTTACAGGACAAGGCTACGTCGGACCCCTTCGCTGTTTTCCTGAAGGCCTGCATTCGCAGGTGGAACACATGTGACCCCGATGCGTGCAAGTAATTGATGGCACTACTTGTAGAAAGAGACGTTGATCTCTGTGGTAAAGCTCGCATGGCTAGCGATCGTTGGGATAGTTGGTGTCTGGTGTCATGCACAACACCAACCAGCCTTTGCAGGTTACCGCTGCAGCGGAGACTGCGAAAACGCCGGCACCTCAGAGGAAGGTGACCTGCCGAGTTCCAGCAGCATACGTATCACATTGGTCAAGGATGTTGAGACTGTGGTACGGCGGTAATGAGTAACGCGGTAGTGCTGTCACTATGCTGCTGATCACATTGGCAAGGGTGTTCATATTATGGGGAGCAATCGTAATATCACTGTGTCGTCTTTGCCTTCCTGGGTGCCTAGTCACTTGAGGCCGCCAGCCAAAGCTCCGAGGCCGAAGAGGCAGGGCGAAGCAATGCGAATCGCAATATATATATATATATATAGATATGTAAATGAATAAATATGTATATATATATACACATGATCTTGTTTTGTAAAATTTTGGTACAGTACGAATACGTGTGATGATGATGATTACCATTACTCTTACGATTGCTACTACTATGCCTATTATTACTTTTATTGTTATTATTCTTGTTACTGTTGTTACAGTATTTTCTTGTAATTTTCATTGCAATTTGTTATTTCTATTATTGATAGCATTAGTATCATTGTCGTTACTACTTTTACTATCATCATTAGTTTTATTGTTATTCTGATTAACCATTGTCATAGCTGTTCATTGTTTCTATTATTAATATTTTGCATTATTGTTGTTGTCATTGTTACTATGACGTTGTCTTATTTCATATGTTGTCATTTCATATGATGTCATTTCATATGATATCATTTCGTATCGAGTTTTTCTATGTAAGTTATAAGATATTACATGGTATTATATACTTGTATTATACTAGTATTCCTATTGTTTTCCTATTGTTATTACTGTCATTATTACAATTCTTATCCTTCTTTTTCTTGTTCTTATCACTATTCATATTATTCTTGTTATTATTGTTATTTGTATTATTATCAACACTCTTCATACTGTCAGTAAATGATTCTTATTGAGACGGTTATTCATGTCACTATTATTGCTATCCCTATTCTTATGGTGATTGTGAGTTAGGCCCGGTAACAGGGTCAGCTTTTGCCCATGCTCGAATTTTCTTGCGCCTTGAGTGAAACCCTCTCTGGTACTTTGCCGGAGGTGCACAGTTGAGTCCTCCAGCGACACCTACCGCGTTATCGTGGGCAAGGAGCACGGGACGGTAGATCAGCCTCAAACCGTCGTGTCTTCTTTTCAGCAGGAGTCCCTGAACCGCGTCGAGCGTCGACTTTTCGAGGCTCAGCACTTACAGCACGGAGTGCAAGCAGAGGGAACACCTGTGCATTGCGAACTGAACGAAGCTGTTGCAGACCTCTGTGATGCAAGGCGGGTGTTGATGTCCGTGGGGGATATCACCGCCATCTGAACAGACCACTGTTGTGAGCTGGCAGGATTAGGGCTCCTGACGCGGTGTGCGAGCTACCAAACTTCTAACCCGACTCTGTTCCGAAGGAGCCCCGCATGAAGTAGGCTGCATGGTAGCAGTGGCAGAGCGGAGAAAATACTTCCTTCTGGGTTGAAGCCTGTCTTCTCCTCTTCAGGCCAGTTGCCGCATTACGCTTGTAATACAGTTGGCCGATATTTCCTTTCTCCTAGCACTCTCTGCCACTGCTGCGGCGCTTGAAGTGGCAGCCGAATCGAAACGGCTTTGGAGGCATTTTGCGCAGACGCCGCAGAGGTTACAGCCCTCGGTTGCTTTCTAACGCTTGTGAGAAGCCTCATGACGGCTTCAGGATCGGCGTCAGCGTTGCTTTCTCTCCTGGCCTTTTCATTTTTCAACGCTCCTGAGTGCTGCTGAAGAACTTTAGTATGTAGACAAGCAGTTGAAACTTCACGCTTGGGAATTCAGGATGCGACTGCCGTGACCTTCAGAAAGTTCTGCAAGTTGACTGCGAGAGTCTCCTAAGTCGGTTCGCTAGCAGCTACTTGGAGGTTCACGGTTTAGTATAAGTAGGGTTATTACAGAACAAGCCCTCTTATACCTACCCATGCACCTCCAAGTAGCATATGCAAAGCCCTGCCAGCAGGCCTCAGTGGAAACTTACTGACAGTTCCTACATGCGAAGGCTGACCAGATGCGCACTCATCAGCTGTGGCAGTTCCCTTGGGCTGTTTGCCCAATGCAACGGAGGGCTGCAAGATGTACCGGACCCCACACTGTAGCATCGTCGACGCAGCAGTGAGAAATCTCATATCTATGTACACGAATGAGCAGATACTTTGTCTTGAAGAAGGCAGCCCCCCGACCAGAATAGGTATTCGCCGAAGGCGTCGGACTCCAATCGTCTGCCATTGCAGAGCCAAAATCTTGACAGCCCCGAGGTGCCAAGGGCAGACCTCAAGCGGCCCTGGACGTTTGACCTTGGCAATTCCCAGAGACTCCAATATCCCTTAATTGAGGAATATTCCTTAGATCATATCAGGGATCCTACTATAACCTTACCTAAGGAATATTGGAGTCTCTGGGTTCCCCTTTAGATCCCAAGCCAGGCTTCTCTTTGCATTGGCTCGATCCGGTCGGGTCATGGCGCAGTGGAGGCGGGGCTTCCCAGCACCTGCTCTTCGTGCCAGGGAAGGCCTGCACACATATTTCTCGTTACGCACAGTCACCTGAAGCGTGGTGTAAATGCAGTGGTGTCCTTACATGATCCAAGGCTGCCCAAGGCATCGCCGCCCTTCTGAGGCAGGCTTGACAGACAGGGGGCAACATGGCCTTTTCCACTAGGTTCCTTCAAAGAGCAGATACGGGTATGTTCACGGGGCCTCTGCAGCGGGGGTGGGGTGGATGCATGATGCAATGTTTTCCACTCCGAAGCCCCAAGAGCGTGAATCTTGGCGGAAGCTCGTGTGCGTTGCAGGCTGCTGGCCTTCACAGCTTATGGTGCTTTGGCTCCTGCAATCCACTTGAGGCTCCTTGTGTTGCAAGGATGCACATTCTAGGACCTTGCGGGCTGGTCTAGATTGCTAGAGGCACGATGAGTTTTCCTGTGGTCAGGCAGCTGAACCCATACGTCGCATCTTCTGGCTGTCGCCTCAGTCTTATGTGAAATACCCTGGCTTGTCACAGCTATCAAGAAACATCTCCTTGGATGCTATAGCATTGAGTGGGAATGTGACGGAACAGGACAAGCTGAAGGAAGGAAGAAATTACGGAAGGAGGACTAGAGACCAGAGGAAGGTGGTAAGGGCACACGAGCAAGAAAGGAGGCAACTAAGCGGGAATGGCAGGACTAACGCGTGGGAATCAGGAAGGAAGGAATGCAAGGACATGAGACGATGAGAGGAAGGAGCCATTCAAATGCAAATCTTCTTAGAGCAGACAGGGGATGGTCTTCTTATTATCCGCCAGAAATCCTGCTTCGTCGAACCTTGGTGAAGCATTTACAAAGCGTTCGCATAGGGCATAGGACCATGTTGTGGGCGATGAGCCAACACCGTCGCAATGTGAACCTGAGACTGCGATGGCATCCAGCTTGCCGTTGAGCCGGTATCGCGGGTAACCCAGGGGACGACGAAGTCAAGTGTCAGAGAGTCTTGACCTCGAGGCCAAACATGGTGTGGGACTGCCAAAGCAACCTCTCCCTCGATCTCTGTCTCTCGGCCTCTCTGTCTTCCTGTCTCTCCGTTTCTCTGGCTTCTCTGGCTTCCTGTCTCTCTATCCTCTCTCCTTCTGTTGCTTCTTTATCGCTCTTCTCTCTCTCTCTCTCTCTCTCTCTCTCTTGCTCCGGTGTCTCAATCACTCACTCACTCTGTTTCACACTCACTGACTCAATCACTCACTCACTCACCAAGGCCGCGCCTTCCTGCAGCCTTTGCCGGCGCAACGTCCTCTGGATTTGGCCCCGCACCTGAGTCAGAGGGAAGGGGATGTGGACTTTAGACTGGTACTTCGGGCTCAAGCGAACTGGAAAGAAGCCATCCACCGGTACCCGCGATGCCTCGAGCTTCTTATTCTCACATCCTGCATGAAGATCTTCAATGTCGAAAACATGGTTCTGAACAGGTGGAACTGTTTGCCGCAGCTGTTTCAGGGTTTTGGCTGGAGAGTAGGGCGTGGGCAGCGGCTAGAGGATTTTCCTGAAGCCCGGCGCCCGGAGATTGCTCGAGGCCAGGGTCAATCGCATCAAGTCTCCGAGCTTTGAGGTGCAGGCAGCCGTGTTGCAGGTGGTAGACTCTGCAGCGTGAAGCGCGAGCCGTAGTGGATTCGGAGTTTCATCCGATTCCCAGGCCATAGCCCTGAACACCAGGCCCCGGGAGCCCCGACTTGGTAAATTCCCCCATCCGCAAGCGCCCCCTAGAGCTGCAAAACCGAAGTATTGCCTATGGGTTTCATTTTTGCGGAGACAGACACAGGCCCATAGACCCTGTTGCAGCCCAATGCAGCCCATTGCACAAGGTGGCAGCGATTTTGTCTGCGCTCCCCCGCTGGCGTGCGGCCGGCTAGGGGAAATGGGCCGCCAGGGGCTCATTCCATGCTTCGGACAGCGGGGCAAGGAGCTTCATATACACTGATGCATGTGGGACCTGTCGAGACTGTTGTTGGCTGAGGGAGAAGCGAATCGGCAGACAGAAAGAAGAAGGACAAAGAAAAAGACAAGGAGCAACGCACACGCTGCTGCTACCGTTTGTCTTGCAGCGTCGGCTGGAAATCCCAAGGCACTGCTGTAGACTTCTTGGTAAGCGCCTAATATAATCTTCGTCTCGGGGCACTCTGCGGATGTCCTGGTTCACTTCAGTCCATGTCGAAGCTGCATCGCATAGCCTCATCTGTTATGTCTGTGTTGGCGTCGCTTCTTCTGATGCAGGACAAGAAAAAAGACAAGGAGCGCTGGTGACATGTCACTTTCATGCTTGCATCTCCTCGCTTGAGCCGCAATCTCGTCATGGAGCTCAGGACAAGGACAAGAAGAAGGACCGTAGTCGGAGTCGTGGGAAGGAGCCCCGCAAGCAATTGGCTTACGAGTTTGCAGTTTAGTTCCTGGCTTAGTTAAGGGTTACGATCCAGAGGGAGGGAGAAGTGTGCCATGCAGTGTGTCGTCACGGCTCGTGGTTCCCGATGCCGGTGGCCGCTCAGGAAAAAGATCGAGAACGAAAGGACAAAGAGAAGGACAGCGGTTGTTGCACGGAGTCCAAAAGAACTTCGGGTTTAGGGATTAGGGAGTTCTTAAAGGAGTGTGCTCACAGAATCTTCCCTGACCTCGGTCCTGGGGAGCGTGACTGCGCTCTGGCCCTGAGGGCAAAGAGAAGGATAAAGAGAGAAAGGACAAAGACAAGGACTGGGACCTGGGCCTTTCCCTATGTCGTTGAGTTTTCTTGCCCTGTGACACGGGCCCCTTGCCACAGCGTGGCCTGTCCCTGCGCAGGACAAGGAGAAGGACAAGGAAAAGGACAAGAAAGACAAAGACAGAGAGAAGGCGCGTTCTCCTGCATGTTTGCGCTCTTCTGGTTCTCTTGCTCCCCCTCTTTCTCGCACTTCTGCTTTTCTCGGAATCAGCCGTCGCCTCGACGGCAGCTTTGATATTCCACGTCTCCAGGACAAGGAGAAGGATAAGAAAAACGACAAAGAGAAGGACAAGGAGACTGAGAAAGAAAAGGCTCCGGAGGAAGATCAGCTGCAGTTCAGGCTGAGGATTCAGCATGGCAACTTCGGAAATTATTCGTAAGTGTAGACTTGACAATCTTTTGACCGCAGCTACGGCCTTCCACTCGGTCGCTCTTTATTGCGGTTTGGGAACTCCAAAGCCCAAGCAGCCCTCCAAAACGTCATTGACACATATATGGTAAGTCCATTTGTAAATAAGTACAAATCAGTATAAGCATGAATACGTTAAATACATAATATGTGCATCCAGGCATGCATGCGCAAACAGATGTCTCTGTCCATCTGTGCGGGCCTGTGTCCATATGCTTATCTGTGTGTTTCATCTGTCGATGCATCTATATGTCTCTCTCTGTCTCTCGCTCTCTCGCTCTCTCTTTGTTCTTCAAGTTCCGAGGCGCCGCCTGCCGATGCTGCGGCGGCGACGGATGCACAGCCCAAGGCAGACATGTGTTGGGAATCTGTGAAGAGAGATCTGGTAATAGTGATAGTGGCAAGTTAGGTAACCACAGTTTTCCCAGTTGTGGTGTTGATGACGTTCCTTTTATCTTTACCTGCTATTGCTGCTTGCTACATTGGTGTTGACGTTGGAGACTCACTTCGTACCTTCCAGTCGTGCTAAGTTGAGTTTGCCGTTGTGATTTTTTGATTTTTTGATTATCGTGTGGATTGCTGCCAGCAACATAATGATTCTGGTTCTCGTCGCCGTTAATGTTTAATTAATTATCCAGATTCTGCTGACCACTACTCCACTTGACATTGCTGCCCCAGCTGCATAGGTCTAAGAACCATCCCCACAGATCCAATGCAAGAAATCATAGAGGGTGACGCTCTTCGAAGTTTGAGGTGCTGAAGGCTTTCCGTCTTGTGATCACAGCATGGCACTGAAGCATCCCACGGTAGATCTTCAACGGTTTTCCCACCGTCTGCAAACCTGTTTGATGAGCTGCGCTCCAGGTCTCTGAAAGGCGTCGGCGCCATTAACATGAGACCTCACAGTACAAGGTACTTCAATTCAATACGGGCCGTTCAATACCTGTGACTGCACCTGAAACCCTAAACCCTATACCCCGTGACCGAAGAGCTTTCAAAGTTTCCAGGACGCTTCGGCAGAGCCGGCAGCTGCAGAAGACGGCGACGACGTGACAGCGGTGGGCCCAGGAGGCTGGCATGGCGTCAAGTGGTAAATACAGTACATATATATATATATATATATATCCATTTATTCATAGAGTACATATATATGTATATGCATATATCCATATATAAGTATATATCCATACATTGTACGTCTTTTTGACTGAGCTCCGGCTCCCTTCGCTTCAATTATCCGAGCGGGTGATTCGGGGTGAAGGCATGTTCCGCGGTCAATCACAAAAACGACACGCATTGAGTCCTCATCAGGATGAGAATGATTCCCAGTCTGCCATGCCGTTTGCCTTTTGGCCAACGAAGCTGAAGATGGCCGGTGACCAGCTGCTGCGGAGAAATCCGACGAAAAGTCATGTTGACATAATCAGTCCTCGCGGCAAATTTTGAACGAAAGGAACCCGGGATAGCCAAATGCCGGTGCCAAAGTTCCACGATGCCTCTGCGAAAGTTGATCTTTGAGCATAAAGGTTCACGTAACTCCTGGTATTGAATATGTGATCGAAGAAAGGTTGTCTTGTCAATAGACAGAACCTTGATGTCCGCCCAGTAAAGTTGCACGGTATGAGGAGCGTTGTTCCTCAAAGCAACAATTTCTCGGACACCTGTGTTATTGGTCGCTGCCTCCTTCTATCCTCTCGCAGGACGGAAATCTGCACTTTCCCAAGCCCACAAGCCACAGCAGGTGATTCCACATCCGCTTCAGCATGCAATCCCATCAAAACTGTCGCATTTAGCACTGCGCATAAACGTGCAATTCAATCTGCACGTTCGCGCGAAGACTAGTCGGAGCTTTGTCATTTGTGCGATATCGAGTCCATGTTGGGCTCCGAAGCTGCGAATTTTCCGTCGGTGTAAAGTTTCGGCATGTTCTGTGTAAGGGTCGCTCAAGTTGAGTGGGCACGGACTTCTTGACACCCTTTCAGAAGCCCGAAGCCAATGAGCATGCTTCCACATGGGAATCGCGATGATGGTCATCCTGGAAGTAAGGAATGCAGCGACCCTGTGTTTTGTCATAAAGACCTTTATGATGATGATGGTGATGATGTCTTTGAGTTATCCTGGAAACAAGAGTAATTGCACAGTGACAGCTTGCATGCTCCTCCAGCTGCTCAGGGCGGAAACTCACAGCCGGGGAGCGCATTCGATTAGCGCGTGCCAAAGCTGCCAATACTCCGGGAAAGAAAAGCATTGCCGTAGGGAGCCTTGGCTGAAAGTTAGAATCCCTGTTTGGTTCGGAGGCGTCAGAGAAGAGCGAGCCCCATGTCAATTGTAGCTCAGAAGCTCAGGCAGAGCCAAAAGCCAGGGTCATCGTAGTTTGGACCCTCTCCCCCTCAGTGTCGTCCCCGAAGTCGCTACGCCGAGGAGCAGCAGCTCCAAGAGCAGCAGCAGCCGGGTCTGCATTTGAGAGTTTTGGAGGAGGCTAAGGGGCTAATGTCGCCTCGGCTTGGCCCTATAGATGGTAGGCAGGATGAGCAGGCAGTCGGCCATGTAGCCAGTGTAGCATCTGCTTATTTGTAATTTGCTGTGGTTCCGTGGCAGACAGTAGACAGCATATGTTCTTGTCTTCTTGCTGCGAGGTAGCTACAGTAGTAGCAGCACGCCGTCTGAAAAGAAAAAGAAGAAGTCGAAGAAGGACAAGACCAAGAAACGGTGCAGACCTCAGTGTTGCGGGTCATCCTTACCTTGCTGATGACGGAGGGAATCTCCCGCTAAGAGGTGCTCGCAGGCTGAGGTTTTTGACAGGCTTTCGTCCAGGAAGGACTTCGAGTGCGAGCCTGTAGCAGTAGGCCAGTAGGCTGCAGAATTCTAGAGATGAAGGTTCAGTGCTCCAAGTCCCGAAGCCCAAGAGCTCCAAACCTAAAACACCCTGAGCGTCATGGTTCCAGGTCTCGCAGCCCCATTTCCAGCTACGGCGGCCTCGCTCAAGTGCCCCTGTGGCTACCGCGACCGGCTAATTATGGTCAGGTCGGCCGGGTTCGGGTGGTGGAGGCTTCAGAGAAGTGTGCCTTTGCTGGAGTGTAAGGAAGAGTCTTTGGGGAACGGCGGTGAAGAAGTGTCTGGCAGTAACAGTAACATGTAGCGATCAATGCAAGAGTGCTATATAGGCACGATAGTAGCAATGGGTTTGAAGATTTGCAGGTTGCTCCGGGATTCGTGGTCTGCGGGAATAGGAACAGACCTCTTTGCTGCAACGGGGGCTCGAGCCCCCAAAATTGGCTTGGCTCGGCGCGGCTTTGTTACAACTCTACAAACTACCCAGACTGCATGCAACGTCAGAATTCCAAACCAGAGACCCCATCCCGCAGGACTTTGTCACTGGTGGTGGCAGCGCCCCTATGGGTGCCTCGGCACGGTCCCACAAGGTTTGGGAGCGACTGGTTCAGTTGGGGCAAACTCTTTAGGCAGACGACAGTCAATCAACTTCTCGCCTCGGGTGACTGGTTATGTGGGAAGAGTTAGCTTGAACGTACCCGGGTCCAGCGCCGACATAGAGGCTTGTAGTTGTCGGTGTCTCTGTCTTTGAGTCGCCTGAGCTCGCTAAGGTGGCTTGACCAGCTTTCTGGAAGCTCAGAGACCCTCGGTTGCGAAAGCATTAGCATGTGACTCTTTCCGTAGGGAAGGACAGATTGAGATGTTTGCAGGCAGCGGCTGGTGCAGACTATAAGCAAAGCGAAAGCGATCACAACAAAGACCTTTCACCACCACCAACAACAACAGGCAATATGATATTGGCCTTGCCCATGCAGGTAATTCTGTTTGCATGCCCTGGAACAGTGGAACTGCAATCAGACACGGCTCAGCTGCCAGGAGAATAATAGGAGTGCGATAAGAATCTGAGGCAGCGTTTTCAGATCTCAACATGCGACCCTCGAACTGCTGGAACGTGCATAGCCTCAATCCCAAAACGCGAAAAGGTAGCCTGCTCAATCAAGTTCCACGAATCAGGCAGAGGCCTGGCGTAGCTGCCCCGGGCGTTGCCGATCTGAGCAGAGCTTTCACGGCTTTCAGATGTCCGACGAAGCGACAGTCGTTCCAGGGGCGGAGTGGGTTTTTGACGTGTCAATAACTTTTTCTTTGATAGGCCTGGGCCTGGCATGGAGATGCATGGCAGAGCCGCCAGACATGGACAACAGCAAAACAAGCTGCGGGCGGGCTTTTGTCGGGCATGTGGAGCATCGCACATCGTAGCAGTCCCAAGCTTGGGCAAAGGAAACGGCAATGCTGAAGGAAGAGCCTGCCTTTCGCTGCAGGTTTCTGCGAAATGATCAGTGTTGCGCTACGGCTAGGGGTTGGTGGAAAGCAGCCTACGAAGGCGGTACTGCCGGGCCGTATGACACAGAGCTAATATGTCTTAGCCCGGGAGTGGGTTGAGCAGAAGGCCACAGAAGGAAGCAGACGCTTAAGCTGTTGCACAGCCACCAACGGTGAAGGAGCAGAAGCGACAGCCGGGTGCGCAAACCTGAAATGCTTGTTACCAGGAACATATGCCCGGGCACAATTGAGCGCATGCAACCCACCAGCTCACATGAGTTGGCTTTCACCAAAAAATATTTAAACCTCACTCGGGCAAGCGATTCGAAAAGAGCCGACTGCTTTCTTGGTTTAGACGGAGCTTGGCCTGTTCCATCCAGGTAGAAGTTTTTGTGGGGTTGTCTGTGTAAGGACAGCAGCAGGGGGCTACTAGGCATGAATGCTGTTTGCTGGTGGGCGGTGTATTCTCGGAAGGGTTCATTCAGGACACAAAACACAGGATGCTCATGGGAAGAACATGCTGAAACAGCTCAGGCACGAACGCCCACGCGATCTTATGGAGCTGCAGCGAATGAATGCTGAATGCGGTACCGAACTTTGCGGTAAGTTGCCAGGATTTGCGAGCCATCCTCGGCAACTCAATGTGCATAGCTCGTCGATTGTTTGGATTGCGATTCCCAACATGGGTCTCGTGCCGTGGCTTGAAAGCAAAAGATCCAGGCTCCTAACCCTGCTTCACGCAATGCTTCAACCTGCCTTGTAATCACTTTGTGGTGTTTTGGTCTTGGCACTCGTCGAGGGTGGGCATGAGGTGTACTGTGGCGTAATCCTATGATACCGGGCCACAGGCTGCCTCAGAGGTTTGGCTTGAGGGCTTTTGGCTCTTTTTGTCTGAGGGCTTCTGCACTAGTTAGCGGCTTGGCGTAGACCAAGAGAGTTGCAGGCCACATCCATGCGACGGTGCTGATGCGGCAAGAACTGTAAACCCGTGTCCCAACATCTTGAATGATTCGATCCGTGTGTCTTTCTCGGACGAGCAACATGTAAGCTGAAGCTCAAGTTTTACGGGGCCTTGACGTGTGAAAGTTCTGGCTGTTGCCACGTCGGACCGAAGCCAGAAGCTCGTCCGACAGTGACGTTGGCACCTGGCAGTTAGGGAGTAGGAAACGCTGAATGAAGCTCCGCATCTCTGACAAAGCTTAGGGCTGGTAGTAAGCGATCAGGAATCCTGATGGAACGTTCAGCAATGGCGAGGTGTTTCTGTGATATCGTTTCTGCTAGTCGGAGAGTTCTGGAGCTAAACAGTTTCGGGGGGTTTTCCAGCGAAGTCTTCGAAGCCATCAAGCCCACAAACTTGTGAATCTCAGAATGCTCAGCTCTTGAAACGCATGCACTGACATTCTTCGGCACAGTCCAGCTGCTCATGGCCTACCTACGAGAGGATTTCACGAGCCTGAATCTCAGAAGGACATCTTTGACAGGCATGCCTAGTCACCCTGACCGGAACAACTTCCAGTCACGGTGAAGGTCCCTGCCAAGTAGATTTGGTTGGCTGAGGTGTCGCAACTGACTGCTGTCGCCGCTTTTGTAGCACGAAAGCGCTGCAATCAGATGTCGTTTTCTGTCTCGTTTTGGGTTCCAATTAAGGCCGGGAGCAGCGCGATCTCATGAGTGTGAGCAGCGATGTGCTGTTTGCAGATCCTCTTGGAGTCCGAGAAGGCCTTGTCATTGTGGCATTGTGCTATAAGAACCTGCCGGTCTATATCTCGAATTGCTTATGGAGTGCAAGTAGAGCTTGTTGGCGTAAGACAGCGGGTCGCAATGCTTACGCTTAAACAAAGTCACCAAGCCTTCGAGACATGGGCCAGATGGAAGTAGTCCCCGGAGGCCCGGGAGACCGCAAGCCTTCTCACATGGATTATGGAGGTGCGGGCAGCTGTTTTGTTTTATTCAGTACAGTTGCGGTTCGGTTGGGTTCGCATGAACCGGTATGAACCGGATGGCGGTTCTGAGCGGCTCGGTTCTCGTGTGTTCGGTTCGTGGTTCCTACCGGGTCCGCGGTTCATCCTCTTGGACGAGTGCAAGTTTGATGCTGAAACGTGGCGCCTGCCTGTTGGTGTTGGGGAGGAAGAGGGGCTCTGAGGGGGGTTTCCGATTCTTCCGCGTTTCGGGCGCGAGGGGGGCGGGAAAAGTGTTGGGGAGGAAGAGGGGCTCTGATGGAGGGGGGATCCAATTCTTCCGCGTTTCGGGCGCGAAGGGAGCGGGGAACACCAAAAATGTTGGTGCTGGGGAGGAAGAGGGGCTCTGTTTGAAGGGTGGGATCCAATTCTTCCGCGTTTCGGGGCCAGGGAGGAAGAGGGGCTCTGATGGAGGGGGGGTTCCAATCCGCGTTTCGGGCGGGAAACGGCAAAAATGTTGGTGTTGGGAAGAAAGAGGGAGGGGGGTTCCAATTCTTCCGTGTTTTGGGGTGTGAAGGAGACGGGAAACGCCAAAAAGCAGAAGAATCTGCGACCTGGGCTCGGGGAGGCTTGTAGGGTGGGGCCGGGTGGGGCAATCCCAGTTTTGGGCTGGGGCAAAAAAAGCTGAAGCGGAAGAATAGGGGGGGGCAAAAAGGGGCTCGTGGAGGGGGGTCCCAATTCTTGCGGGAGGGCTCTGGTGGAAGGGGTTCCCAATTCTGGCGAACAGGGCGGGAGACTCCGGCAAGACAGGAGAGGACTCTGATATGGGGCCGCAATTCTTCCGTGTTATGGGTGTGAAGGGGGCGAGAAGGGGCTCTGGTAGATACTGCAATGGCATGGTGGCATACTCACATGTACATGTTCCGTGGCCCGTCACTCTAACGTGGTTGAAGACACCATAGCTCTGTCTGCGTAGCACTGACATCAATCTGCTGTCCGTCCAGAGGCATGTCATTAGGTCTTGCATTTCGGCTGCTTGCGGGGCCGCAAAACACATCTTATGCCACTTGTGCCGGGTCTACAGCGCCTTCAACACCTTCCAGATTTCGGCTTTAGGGGGGAGGGGAACGGTTTCGGTTCACGTTGGGGTTCATAGCGGTTCACTGGAACGGTTCGGTTCGGGTCATGGCGGTTCGGTTCCTGGCGGTTCGGTTTCTGCGGTTCGGTTCTTGTTTATTGGGTTGGCCGCTTCAGCACGACATGTTTTTGGAGCATGTGGCCCGGCGAGGCATCACGCAACCAGGCCCCCTGCATGCGCACCTCGGAAAAACGTGATCAGCCAGACGCTTGACATCAGCAGAGATGGATGCAGATCCAAGGTCCAGAGGGGGCCTGGACTCTGAGTTCGTGTACTCAGACCGATATGGATACAATGGCCTCAGCCCAAGCCGAGTGGCATGGATAGGACACCGCTTGCGAGTTTGGGACAGGGGTCGACATCCCAGAACATTACAAGCCAAGTTCGTCAAAGGTTGGGGGGACTCTCAACATCAATTCCTCCACAGCACCAGGTGGTGGTCTCAAAGGAAGCGGTGCAGGCTGTGGACAAGGGTTTGGGGTTCCAAGCTTCATCGTGCTTTGCCAGTGGCTTGTTGTCTTGCTGGTGGGTTCATGTCGGTGGAGCGCCAGTCTACTGGAATTTGCCAAATCGGGAGGCATCTTCAAGAAATCCACATACGACCTCAGACCCCGAAGCCCGAGACATAACACCAAACAAAATCCAAGATGCCATCGCCAGCTGGGGAGGCTATCGGCGTCAACTAGACGAGGAAGAGTACACGCCAAAGGAGACCTGCCTTACCACATGTCAGAAGCATTCATGCCTGTAGGATCAGCGGGCTAACGATGCTCAGCGGAATCACAATGGTCAGAGTAAGCAAGACTAGGCGACGAGAGCATGTTATCTTGGGAGCAGCAAGGGCTGTGAACACAAGGAAGGGCAGACATACAAGGCACAATCATAGCAGATGTCGCAGGAAGAGCAAGAAAGCCAATACAATACTGTGTGATTAAGTTATGCGCAAAACACAGCGGGATCAGTAGCACACATCAGCTTTGCGAGACCTGTTGAGAACCATGGGGGCAATCAGAACAACGTTTCCTTCCCTGCCCATGTTGCACGAGGAGTACAGAGGCACTCAGTATGCCGTGCCTAGAGACGAAGTGCTTGCGGCTTAGGTGTGCCCGGGGTTCGGGAGATTCAGGTGCGTTTTGAAGTTTGGGCAGTCCTGCATGCTCTCATAGGATCGGACAGTCGGACAATCGGTCGTGGCATGGACAAGATTGGGACAACATGTTGTCACCCGTACGACTTTGTCTCTCCGTACTATCCGTCGAGATTTACCAGCTTCCACTGCTTGAAAATTGGGATGTGCAGTTTGCGCTTGCAGTGATGCATGCTGTGCCAGTCGGGCTTTGTCTCACTCAGGCTAGAGCCCGAGGACTATGGCGTTCAACTCCAGGAGGCCCCCCCCCAGTGGCTGTTGCTCTGCCGGATGAGTCCCCGAGTCACTTGCCAGACCCTGGGCCATTTTGGCTCCTACTTGTGGAGCTTCGTCGCTGGGGCCCCGGCCAACATTGGCGCAGCATGCTAGGTCTGCTGTGCGATTCTACAAATTTCAGAATCCTGAGGCTGGTGGTCGCCAGTGCTGCTCCATGCGCGATCGAAATCGCAAGGAGGATATGGAGGCACTCGCTAGTTAAATTGCGTGCTTTCCTTCAGTCCCGGAAGGGTGGTTCAGGTGCTGTGTATGTGTGTGCCTGTGTGTGTGTGTGTGTGCTTGTATCGTCCGTGTAGTCTTTCGCCGTCGGGCTGTGTGACTTCAAGGCCTGCGCACTCCTGATCATCGGCCTGTCGATGCATGTGAACGAAGATGGCATTCTCGAAGATGACTGTATGACTGCCTGTGCAACCTGGGTCACCTCACTCTCCCGAGCAGCCAGTCCGACGTTGTTGTCTTTGTCGAAGTCATTGAACAGGCTGCAAGGCGCGCTGCCATCACCGGCCGGCCACCCCCTCGTGGACGTCGAGGGGCTCAGAGAAGCTGCTGCTTTGACGCCCGTAGAATCGTAGAAGGCAGCGACACAAACATAGTAAAGAGTATTTCCATGGTTTCAGGTTTATCGAGAAGCAAAGCGGCGTAAGACGGTTAGACAGCCCGAGAGCGTGGGCTCATGCAAAATGCAGAAGATCATTAGCCAGTGAGTGATCTCGGCAATCTCACCAGATCAAGCACTGTAGCGGTGCATCGCATGAGGAGCAAAGGCAGTAGTAGATCTTGGGGCATGAGACAACAGAAGCGACCTGTCAGTTGGGTGGCCATATGAAGCAATCTCAGATAACGTGCGACGCCAAGGCAAGGTGTGATATGGTGTGATTACAATAGGATAGTGCCATCATCGAATGTAGATATAAAATCCGGTAGTAAATGACACTGCGCCGGATAAGTGCTAGCTTGTGATGATATGTGGTAGCAGATCGCCTTACGAGCCTCATCACCGCCCTACAGGCCGCCAATCGCCATTTGGCATATGTGCACTCTGGCTCAATAAGCTCTTCGACTTTATTCACCCATGTGACAGCAAGCTACGCAGCCTGCACGAGCGCATGTCCTTCGTGCATGCGCTTGCCATGAAGCCTAACCCCTTATCACAGTCAGACATGCTGTGCCGAGGTGTTTCCAGGCCGGAAATTGTGCAGGTGCAGATCCCGAAAGCTGTAGTCTGCCCCGAAGCTGGCGCCCTAACTCAAGCGAAGCGCTTCTACTCTCGTCCTTTGTGTGGTGGCCGCGACTGCTGCCATGGCACTCCTTCAAGAGGAGCTGCTGAAGCATCCAAAAGCATGGAACTCAGTTTGGGATCATTGAGCAGATCACTACGGCTCTCAACACCGTCATGTCTATCTTGGCCAGATGTCCTCTACTCTCGCCTTGCCGGGCTGGTCAGCTTGCGGACATGGAGCTTTCTGGAGTGTTTCAGGTTATGTTGCATGCTATGTTCTGGTCTTGGATTCGGACGAAACTTTGAGATACCGAGGTGCAAGCGTCGCTGCGAGTAGCCGGTGAGAAGGCCCTGTAGCAGCATCAGCAGCATGCTCGATGGTACAGCAATCCACTTAGCGGTTTCGGTCAGGCACTCAATGACCCGGGAGTGCAGAGCGCCCTGCTGACGGCAGCAAAGGCCGGTGAAACACCGAGGGATGGGGAGGGAGGAGTGAGGAGAGCAGAGTAATGGGGGGATACGAAGCCACATGTCGCCACGCATGATTTTAGATGGCTACCAGCAGCTCGGTTTATATTTTATATGATATTTGCACAGCTAGGCCAGGGCGCGCCCAAACGGGAGTTCTCGCCACGTCGCCGATGGCTGATAAATCACACCTTTCCGCACCGCAAGGAACCGAGGAGGAAGGATGAGTGCAGGTGCTTGAACTGTCCGGGCGCTTCATTTTCAGTTGCTGTCATCCTGAGGATGGTCAGTCTTGGGTCACCCCTTGCATGCTGCAACCGAGCAGGAGAGCGGGGACGAGGTTCTGGCGATTGTGCGCAACCAGGTGCACTCGCTGTAAAGGGTGTAGCTACTTCGCGGCAGGAGGGATCGTGATAGTCCTGGCTGGCAAGAGGCTGCATCATCGTTTCTCTGCATGTTCCGATCTTGGAACGTCGACTTGCCTCAAGTTATGCTCCAGGTGACATCCTGGGCGCAAGATCCTCAAGCGCAAGCCAGGGCGAAGGCCACGATCTTTTTTGGGGACTCTGTGGTTGAAGGTTCAAGGTTCGAAGGGTAGCTGTAGTAAGGCAACTGAGAGCAATTGTGGTAGCATTGGTCGCAACAGAAATCTTGAAGCGACGACAATGCCGCTACTACTCCTCTGGAGGAGGAGGAAGAGGAGGAGGAGGAGGAGGGACTACGACGACGACAACCACAATTGCTGCCAAAACTGCTTTGACACTTTAGCAGGTCCAGAACACCAATAGCTGCAATGCCAAATATTCATTGACACTGTTCGCAGCAGTACCACCAATCAGAATGTCAACAGTGACAAGAACAGCAGGAATGATAATTACTTCGTGACGATCAAGATGCGGTGGTCAATATTTACATTGGAAGAGATACTGGCAATCGCTTTTCTGACGCTTTGGCAGGAGATTGCCCGGCAAGCCGCCGTCGGGGCCGGGCAGGCAGAGCTGCTGCGCTACTGCTACTGCTACTGCTCGTACTATGCGTCTTCCTGCTGCCGCTTCTCCGTGTGCTGCTAGTGCTCCTCGCCATCGCCAACACTTCTCATGCTCTTGTTTTGCATCTGCTGCTGCTGCTGCTACTGCTCATGCCACTGCTGTTACTGTCAGCAGTAAACAGCAAGGTCATCCCCACTCCCCTTTTCAGCTGTTTTTTGTGGGAACCTTCAAGGGGTGCAGATTGGGGTTCAGTCTTCTGTATGTGGACGCATGGCATCGCAGGCATTGGGCCAAGCCGGGCAGATGTTGGCGGAGACCGGGCTTGCAAACTGCGAACCTGTAAGGTTGTTGCATTCGCTCGAAGCATGCCCCCCATGTCGCCACGCCTCACCCTTACGAGGAATCCTTGCCTTCCGATAGGTCTCATCGACCAGACAAGCCTTTGTTTAAGCCGACCACTTCGCGACAGGATCAGATTGCGCAGGGCCCGGCCGGACTCCGCTTCCTGGCCTTTGCAGCTGCCGGCACGTGGCTCTGTAGCACCACAGAGCTGGCAGGCTCTTCAGGGACGGCTGAGAAGCGCAAGTGAACTGGTTGGCTTTCCTGTGGTCGTGTACATTCCTGACCCCCCAAAGTTTTTGAAGCAACCCTTGAAGCTTTGCGCTGTCTCAGGTCCTTAGCGGTGTGCGTTCTGGAGTTTCTGAGTGTTGAAAGCCGGGCCCCCAGCGCGACATCTAACGTGCCATTGCAGAGTGTATGTAGTTAGCGCAACCAACCAGTCAATCAATCTTGCAATATAGGCACACACACACTCTCTCTCTCTCTCTCTCTCACTCTCTCTCTCTCTCTCTCACACTCTCTCTCTCACACTCTCTCTCTCTCTCACACACACTCTCTCTCTCTATATATGTATATGTTATACGTGTATGTAGTACATGTAGTATATACATATGTAACATCAGTGTGTACATATGTATGTGATTTCTGTTTTGCGCACATACATGCCTACCTACCTACATACATACACGTACGCATACACATGCGCATACATATACAGGAACATATACATATACATACGAACATACATGCACACATACACCTACGCATACACATACACATACGCATACGCATACACATACAAATACAAATACATATATACATACGTACATATATATATATATATATATATATATATGTATATATATATATATATATATATATATACACATGCAGATACATATGCATATACCTTTACATTTACCTTACGTGTACATATATATATATATATATATACATATCCATACATACATACACGCATGCACACATAGACACATACACACATACACACATACACACATACATACATGCATACATACATACCTGCACACATACACACATACACGGCATACACGCATACATACATGACTACATGCATGCATATGCACTTACATGCACACATAGATATACATACTACATCCACAGACACGCACTTTACGGACATTCGTCTGCTCTTCTTTTCATCTTCTTTCAGTATGAAAGGCGGGGTATGCGGCAGCTGACTCTTGGCCGTCTCTGGCCAATACTCCCTCTTCCCCATAGCTTTTCCTTCCGGCCTGGTTGGGGACGACTAACGATTGCATGCATCAGGCTTTTCGATTCTCGGACGTGCGACACTCGAGCTTGCCACAGGGCAGGTCTTCTCCGCATGCCCACTAAAGGTTTGTTGCGCGCCCGGACTTCCATCGAAAATTGCATGGCATTCCATGGTGCGATTCCGACCCAAGTCTTTTTGTCGGCAGTTTGCACCGAAGTTGCTGCTTCGAAGTATGCAGGAGTTCAGCAGATTTCCACAGCACAGACCTCAAGGTCGTAGGATCATGTGTGCAGTTGAGCCAGACCATGCTTCGCATGCACGAGCGCGTGTTGTGCGTGTGTGCGTGTGTGCGCGTGTGCGTGTGTGTGTGTGTGCGCGTGTGTGGGGCTTTCGCTATGCCAATAAAATTTGCGCCTCAAAAGTTCAACATTTCGAAAACTTATCAGGACATCATCGAAACCACCTTTTTGCTGTAGGTCTGCTGCATCAAAACAGGATGCACTCACTCGGTATTCCTGAGATCCTCCGAGACCTGCGCCCCTAGCCCAGCAGAGGTGTCTTCACTGGGCCGGCAAGATGGGCCACCTGACTGACGCACTCAAGCTCCGAGCCAGGGTGTGCGGATTTGGGATGATTTGGATCCTCAGAGGTGCCTGCTTAGATTCCTAAACCCTGAACTCTGAACACCAAAGCCACTCTGCGGTGCGATGCAACTCGCATGAAAAACTAGCCAAGCGTCCCAGGGTCCTAAATCGTTAAGCCCAAAGCCTGAGCCCCTATACCCAAAAACCCTCAACCTTAAACCCTAAAGCCTACACTACACCATAAAGCAAGCATCCAAGGTTATTTCCGGCTTTCAGGGCATCTTCGCTGTGACGACGATGCTCTTTGAGATGCCTGCAGACTGGGTTGCCATGGTCCCAGGGGTCACCCACTACCAGGACGTGTATCATTAACCATAGCGGTTTTTTTTCCCAATATGTTTAGCACCACGACCAGTTGGTCTCCAGAACTCTCTTCTTGAAAGTTGTTGTCGTCGAAACACTGCACCATCTTTGTTGAGTTCGTATCCATAGTTTCGGATCCGCATCCTTCCAAAGGACACTTGTAGCTCTCACATGCCGCAGGACCTCATCATCGACGAGGCGAAGTTCATGACTCGCGCCGGAGGCACGCATCGGCAGCTGCACGCCACGTGCTCGCGTAGGAATCGCATAACGCAGAGACTCCAATGTTATCCTTTAATCAAGGAATATACACCTCAAGTCATATCAGGGATCCTACTATAATTTAAGGTATATTCCTCAGTTACGGGATATCGGAGTCTCTGGGTAATTCCCGACTGAACCAGCAGCCACGGCCGACATGCAAAACATCCCAAGTCCTCAAGTGCGACAGACACAAGGCAGAGGCCTGTTCTACATCTTCCAGGGTGCGATTTGGGCAATTCAGCAGCAATTCACAGTCATTCGCGTGCATGTGTTGAGAGCGATCTAATGCTTACAACATGTCCGTACACCACGGACCATGTTGGACACAACCAGCCGAGACTATTCCGGAGCCTACCCTACCCTACCCTACCGTCTAGGTGCTGTCTAGATTTACGGGTATATTGCTCGAAGTTGGAAGAGCGTCTGGGCTTGCTCGATCAATGTCTCTGTCCGGGCGCCATGAATCATTCCGTTAACTTTCGCCTCGATTCGACAGCTCGCCAATTTCAGGCCAGAGACCCGAGCCCTTGGAACAAAGAGCAAGCAAGCACACTGAAGAAGACCGAGGTTTGAAATGGTCTCCTGTAATCGACGTCAACCCCGGACCCCGACAATTTCAGATCCTCCCGAAAATGGGTCCGAAAGCTTGGGCCACAGGGTTGTGCCTGAAAAACCTGAGAACGCGCCGGACCGCCCACCAAAGCAAGCAGCCGATGCTTTCCGAGCTTGTGGCGGACAGACTGTGAGTCCAACTCATCGACCGCTGACCCGAGCAAGAAACAGCTCCATGAAAAGAGCCCCCGATTCTTCGAGACCTGTTTACTGCGTGGGATTCATTGGGACAAACCATCCCTCGTTCAGCCGAGGCCTGCTTCGCTTCCCTGATGAAATTAGTCCATCTGGTGGCAGCCGTGGCGATGCTGCTCGTGGGTACCCTCCACGTGCTGATGCAGCTTCTTGGCGCTGAAACTTTGGCGAGAGCTAATTTGAAGTTAAAAGCCTGTTTGCCCTTTGACGGCGTGTTACTTCTCATGACGGCTGAAGGAGATTTCCAGCCGCCTGCCACTTCTTCGGACTTCCGTGTTTGTAGGTGGAAGGTAATTATAGATTCAACAGAGATGCCTTGTGATTCCCTTCAATCCCTGCTGGCTCCGACAGCTGCAAATCGGGCCAGAGTGGTCCGCAGTGTGTAGGTGGGCCATGTGCTTCCACACTTCTTGTTGTGACAGTTACTAGTGTGTTTCGTTATTTCCATTCATTACTATTACTACGAATCATTATTATTATTATTATTATGATTATTCGTATTGTTTTTACTACTGTTACTATTCATATTCTGACTAATTTTCTGCTTCTGCTTCTTGTTATTCATTCTGTGTACTATCATTGTTCATTATCTTCGTTTTTTTTACTCTCTCTCTCTCTGTCGTTGGCACTTTGCTTCTTTCCTTGTGTTTTCACGCTGACAAAGAGCTGTCGCACGAGGATACTGTCGCTGGAAAGGCTTCGGCAACTCTCAGTGACACTTTATTGCGAGCCCAGTGGCGAGGGCGGATGACGCTCGCGGTGAAGTTGCAGTACCTTTGTGGGGAAATCACAGAGCATGCAACCGGGTCTTCGTGGAAGGGAATCACATCAGGAATGCCTGCAGATGTGCAAATTAGCCGGAGAACATCCGAACTCCGACTTGCGGCTGCGCTCTTGCTCAGATCTGTTGCGCTCCGCTTGAGTCACTTGAGGTTTGGCATCATGCCGCAAAACATCGCGGAAAAGATCCGCGAGAAGACACCTGGCTGCCCTTGCGGAAGGTTTTTGCAGCTCAGCAGACCGGTTCGACATGATGATGGTCGGAAAGTCTATGATTGCATTGGAGCATTCATGATCTTCATAGGTGAAGGTTTTGTGACGCGTGAAGCTTTTTCCTCAAACTTTTTGAAACTGCCTCAAACCTGAACTCCCATCTCATGTTGGCACTGCTTTTTGACCCACTGGGCTTTCTGCATGATGCCGCAAAGTCATGTCATTTTTCGTTGTAGACAGGAATCTGAAGCATGATCGTGATGCCCTGGGGTGATGCGTCGCCTTAGGACGGCATATGGCGGCTATTCTCCGGTGCCACAGAACGACGCGTGATGCGGATCCCAGGTCCAGGGTGGGGTGGCAGAGGGTGTGTACGGGTAGTCCAAAGAGTCCGTGGAACTCTATTCTAGTTGTAGGGGTAATTATTAAGGCCCCTATATGTGTCGTACAAGGCAGAGCCGACTGTTATTCGCAGTCGCCGGAAAGGCTCGTTAGCTTGCCGGCGTGCAGCAACGGCACCTCGTACAAGGCCCTGACGCCTAGGCTTTAGATCTTTGGGAACCTGTCGAACAAAAGCCAGAATCGCGAGGTGCCGACATTACAGCGATTTTACATAGGTTTAGGCTTGGGGAGGATTCGGCTGAGCCGGATTCCTTCTGACCACTTGTGGCTTACTCATGCGATTGCAGAGGAAAAGATGTCCGAGTTAAGTTGTTTCGTATTCTTGGATGGGTCTGGTGTGTCTGGTAGGCAGTTCAAATTTTGGAACAGACGTATCGCTTTGGGCTTCACCTCGAGACGATAGGAGTTCAGCATACAACGATTCACGTTTTCAAATCTCGCGTGTGGCCACAGGGTGCCTCGGACGGTCATGGAGCGCAGCAATCCCCGTTCGGGTTTCTATTGTACGTATTGTTTAGCACTATGTGTGAGGTTTGATGGTGTGCTTTTCGTTAAGATGTTGGCTGGGCGACTTGGCTCGCCGTTCGCCCAAACTTAGAGTCTAGTCTAAGTCATGGGTCCGCGGGAACATGCTCTTTGACAGGCCCCAAATTCCATGATAACTTTCGCCACACTGGCAGCCTGCCTTTCACGACCTACAAGCCTTTGAGTCACCAAAGGGGTGCCACGACTGCGCCCAGGTGAGAACGGTCAGTTCGCTTCCGATGGCCATCATCCAGATACTCCTCAGGCAGCCCGAGAGCAGGCTGCGGGTGGGGAAGCTTTGCAAAGGCCCCGAGCGTCCAGGCGAACTTGGACTTGGATACTGATTTCTTCTGCTTTGCTTGTCCGAGCCATGCTCGTTTCAGACCTACGTCAAGCTAGCGGCTTCGGCATGCTTCAGCACATAATTGCAAGCGTTTGGGTCGGCGGCTATGGGAAGACGTGGCGGTGGCAAACTGCTGAGGGGCATGCTGGCTAGATGGTGGAGGCTTCCCTTTTATTTTTTAAAATGATTTCAAAGGTTCCAAGCCTACTTTCCGGCTGCTTAAGTCGACAGATACGTCTGTTCAGAGATAGATCCGTGTGCACACGTTGCATGCAAACCTTTCCAGGCATACTCATCCAGGCGGTTCTACACCCCAGATGATGACGACGAGGGCGAGGGCGAGGAGCGAGCGGCCTCTATATCAAGTGTCACGTAGTCGGAAATCGAGTGGTGCTTGGAGAAGTCTAAGCACTGCCACTCGTCCAACCTCGATATGCTTCAGGCTTCAACAGATCGCACAGGTTGGTCTGCAGGTTTGTCGGTAACTGATTTTCAGGCAGGCTGAGCCCCTCTGGCACTGGCCCTTCTAAGATAACAATGGTAGCAGCCAGTGCGCACAGAGGAGCCCCCACTCCTGAGCAGTTCCGGACGCGGCAGCCGCTCTCAGGCCACGGTGGACAGGATTTTCGACAGCTCTCGGTATGATGAGCAGCAAAACCGGACTCTCCTCAAATGATTCCTGGTGGAGCGATGCGCTGTGCCTCCGCTCCAATCTCGTCGTGTTTCTGAGATGTTCACAAGATTTTTGGTTTTCAGCAGCCTTCCAAACAGGAATGCAAGCGGTTTTAAAGCAACAAGATGCGTGCGGTCATTGTGTACCAATCATATTTCAAACGACTCAAGGCTCTGATGATCTCCGCTGACTTGCAGTTTTCCAAGGGCTCGCCCGGAAGAGTTGAAGGAAGCCTTCGCTCCAAGCCGCAAAGCCCCCAACTATCTCAAAATGCTGCTCTGCTACACTCAGACCCCTAAACCCTGAGACATCTTGAGACCCTAAGCAAACTCTTAGCATCCTAGCCCCGCAGCATTGTACAGGGCCTTCACGAGCGCGGTTCCGGACTCGACCCCTCGAGTTTGAGGCCCGCGCCAGCAGGGCCGGGGACCCAGCGATGACACCAGAAAACTGGGGGTACCATATTTTGGGGTCCTTATAATAAGGATCCTACTATTTGGGGTAGTATACTACTGTTGATGATATAAATCGTGCATGACTGTGGGTCAGCCCATCATGTATCGTCAAAGCAGTTGCATCCCCGCGCCCCTAATTTTCAATGTTGATGTCAGAGGGGAGGTCATGCAGGATTTATATCATTCGCACGGTCCTATCAGAGCACGTCCGCCTGCGACAATGTTAAAATTCAGGGGTTCAAGGGGAGCGGCCTGTGTCTTACAAACTCATGCAGGATTTATATCATCCACCGTAGGGTCCCCTGTTTTCGGAAACTCCCATGTTGATATTGTGTATGTATGCTCAGAGACAAGTGGTCTACACACATGTATGGATGTACGCGCACACACCTGCACACGCACATCCATCCGTCCATGAGCCCATCCGGCCACACCCACCCACACCCACCCACACCCACCCACACTGACAAACACCCCCATCCATCTGCAAATATCGGCAATTTCGGGACAGAGACCATATGCAGATACTTCCGTCTACTGGCACGTCTTCTGTTCGGGCATCAATGTTGTGCCTCACATGGAAAGCTCTCTCGATACTACTACTTCTTAGCACTGAGATACCAGTCCTATTCCTCCTAGCACGGCTCCGCAAACACCGGAACACGCTATCTCAAGATTGGCCCTGCCAGTGCAGTGCTCCTTACTGTAAACAGCCTTCCAGTTGAGCACCATTCACAAACAGCTGCTCGTGACGGGGAGCGAGTTCTGCTACGGTTAGATCCCGAACTGGGACATGGGGTTCATCTGAAGTCGAGATGTCGGATCCTTGGCTTCGGAGTGCATCTGGGGGCTTCGGAGGGGTTGGGTGCTCCCAGCACTCCAGGACGGAAGGACGGGGCCGTGCAGGAAGCGAAACCCGATCCTAGTTAAGCAGTTTAGCTCCCATCTGCACACAAGTTGGAGGCAAAGAGATGCCGCCAAAGGAACGGTGCCAAAGTCCCACTCGAGTTTTAGCATAATGGGGGCAACCATGATCTCGATTTCAGTCCCACATCAAAGTCGTTGGAAACTTTCAGTTCAAGGAAAGACAGGTCTTGGGTTCAGCATTTCGGCTTACATCAGAAAGCTCCACCTGAGACCAAGGTCTCTCCCTCCAAACGTGGACACATCCAGTTCCATGCAGCTCGCTCAGTCCAGGGTTTCGTGTCCTAAGAGCATAGCACGACCTAAAGCTGCATGCCCTCGGGTCGCAAGTCCTTGTTGCAAAAGATCTTGCTGGGACATGTTTCGTAGAGCAGGTTCGATCATGCAGCGAGAAGCGCAGCGAGATGGGTTCGGACTTGACTGTCTTTGATTGAGGCACGACAAACCAAACACATCTTCCATGGCGGCGTGCGACTCTTGGAATGGAGAGATCTTCTGCAGTTAGGCATTCGTGGATGTCTAAGGGTGTGCCGGTACTTTCCCTTCGTCATTTTGTGATGGCCAGATATAGCCATACGCAGAACATCTGCGCGAAACAGAAGCCTTGGAATCGGAAGAGCCCCAGTGCCAGAGGCCACAGCCCTAAAGCTCAAGAACTCCCGAGGTCCTCAGAGCGCCTCCGAGAGGACCCCTTCTTGACGGGCCGGAAGCTGGAGGCCGCTCAGCGGGACTCGCATCGTATCGCGCTGCATTTCTTCTGCACATCGGAAACTGGACTTCTCCGCTCTTTGCAAGGCCTTCCCGGAAGCGGGTCCGCCTATGTCTGCAGTGGAGCCGCAACGACTGGAGCTCGGTCTCATCAGTCTCATTTGTTGGGCCTGTCTGTGCAGGGCTCGTGGGTTCTGCCTTTGTTCACTTCCGTTTCTCTTTATTGATGTCTTTGCGACCCGCAAGAAGTGGCTGACTCGCGGGCAGTTTGCAGGGTGCAGCCTGAGTACTTCTCAGCGCGAACTTTCTTGCCGGTGTTGCTACTGCTGCTGCTGCTGCTGCTGCTGCTGCTGCTGCTGCTGCTGCTGCTGCTACCACCTGGCTCGCAACCATCTATTGACTATTGCTTCCTGTCCATTCTGCGACTCACATTCTGTTATGCTGATCTCTGAAAGTTGTCTCCGTTATCACACCTGTGATTGAATGCGGAGCAGTATCCACGATCTCCACGCGAGGCTATGACGATCCACCAGCTTCGTCAAAGGCCCCTTCGTCGCCAAGTCACTGCTCTGTAGATTGTCCTCGAAATCATCGTGGCAGCTCGCAGTAATAATAGTTATAGGAAGAATAGTACTACTAATAATAACAAGAACAATCTCAATAATAATAACAATAATAACAACAAGAATAATAACACTAATAGCACTAACAACAACAATACTAATAGTAATATTAATAACAACACAAATCATAGTAGTAATATGTCATGCAACATTGCAGGGTCGGAGGTTGGCTTGTAGCTTTCTGCAGGGCGACCCACGGCCGCCGGAGGGCTCGCTTCCCAATAAGCCGGGAGCCCCGCCGAATGCTCTGCAGTGATGAATGGGGGAATGGATTCCTAAAGTAGTCCCTATATAATCCCCAATAATAGTCTCCACCCATTCCATACTGACAACCTCACAGTGATTTGCAGGATCCCTGGCTAGGCAGGAACATGATCCATGTTCGTGCACGCTTGTTCGGGTGTGTCTGTGAGCGTGTGTGGCTGAATCAGAACGCCAAGATGCTCTGCGCCGCAGAATGTCGGGGCAAAAGCGCGGCTGAACCCACGGCCGAATGCATGCAGATCCACAGCTGAGACCAGGTGGGAGTGGCCACCTTGGTGCCTCAACTTCAAGTCTCCGAACATCGAGGCTGAGCGTTGTTTGGGAAGGCATAAAGACCCACGACAGATTAGGCTCTGCAAGCTCGTGTCTGTTGCGTGTCTGTCTGGGAGCGAGACGTTTGCACGCGGAAAAGCACACAAGACGATGCCGGCGATGAGATACGGAAGGCCATTCCAGTGCCCAGAATTCCGTTCTCCATGACACAGGTCTGGGTTTTCGATGATGACTGCAGCGTCGGCAGGCCTGCCAGTCTCCAGCGAACGTAGTTTGTGTCGCAGTTATGGAACCCACCAGTGAACACAGGAGAGTTCGTGCTCAGGTGGGTAGCCGCTCAACCGCAAAGCCGTGTTGTTGACAAGGCAGATCCCGAGTCTGCACGATTCAGTTTTTAAAAGGGTAGTGCCCGCGTCTTGCAGTCGAAAGTGCAGGCGTTTGTTTGGGGTACTCGTGAGCCGAGCTGATCAGCCTTTTTTTCGATTTCCGATTGCTGTGGACCCATGCAGACCGGCCGCGATGCATACCTTTGCGCCGAGTATCTGTGGGATGGCGAGTACTATGTCCAGGAGCAACCTGCCGCTTTCTTCAGGTTCTTGATCTCTGCGATCACCTCTGATGCCCGTAGCTTCCGTGGTCTTGCCGACTACCTTTCTTCCTCCAGCTTTGCACCAGCTCGCTGTTGCCTTCCATGCAGGACTTCGGACCCCAACATGCCAGGGTCTCAGCTGGATGCAGCGTAGCGGTCGTGTTAGCCACTGCTTGCTCTCGAGGTCCGGAAGAAGGGCGAGTCAAGAACCGTTTGGCAGGCACTCACGCAGGTGCCCATTGGCTTTCCATTACGACACACGCCTGCTACCAGTAGCTTGTCCTTTCTGAGCCCCCGGCAGCGGAGCGCTCAGAGATTTTCCTCCCAGCGCTTCCTGTCCTCGCCAGTCCGAGCCGTACGGAAGCGCAGAGCTGGACGCCACGAAGGCGCTGCCACCCAGATTTGCAATTGTCCAGGCTAGCCTCTGCAACCTCAAGATTTTCAGAACCCGCAAGCTTCCAGGTCTTCAAGAAAAAAGATGAGGACGACAGCCTAATGGACACCAAGGCACATTGGTGTTTCCGAGACGTCCGCAGGTTCCAGATGTTTCGGAGGACAGCACCAAAAGCACGACAGCCAAGAGAGCAACGAATCGCTAGGGCGTGCAGCCCCACTGAACCTGTTCGCAACAGATCCCCGCAAGCGACCTCTTACCGCAACAGCACAGATTTGAGAACTTATACTACTCAAGGGTTCCTTGCACGGACATCCATTTAAGGATCTACTTTCCAGATATTGGCAGGTCTTCAATGGAAAGAAGGGGAATCCTGGGCGCGATATGGGAGGCCAGTCGCGTGGTCCGAGAATCATTTTTGGCATTTGGACTCAACATGGTGTTCATTCTCTCAGAGTTGGCACATTTTCTTGTTGAGGAGTCTCTTTGATTTTAGCAAGCAGTGAATCGCCTGCCCATTGCGGGTGGGAGACCCGGCGCGAACCCCTTAGGCCCTTAGTAGTTAGTGATCAGTAGCCCATATCACACCTACTTCACCAACATCACAGCTACTAATTAACTCAGTACTAGGAAATCTCAAAGAGCTGCTGCAAGATCCAACACAATTTCTTTCAACCAAATTGGGCAACGGTTGCTCGTAGAGTTTAGGTTTCGGATTACGGCTTGAATTTATCGTGTAGCATTCAAGGTACTTGAACGTTCAATCCGAACTGGCTAAAGCATCGCCGTCTGTAACACTACGGTTGATGATGTGATCCATATTCATTATTATGGGTAATGCAGGATGTATATCATCAACCGTGGTATTGATTTTTACGTGCTTGTAAAGATGCTGAGCAGTCATTTACTGGAAGGTGTACTAAACCTGGATATGACACCTGAAATCGCTGCACCCACTCCCTGCTCCCAGAAGAGCATCTGCAATTGGGCCTTTGTCTCAAGGTCAGTTGACCAGGTTGTGTCTATCTGGGTTTGCTTTTCGCACGTGTCATCTTGAGTTTCTTTCTGCATTATGTTGAAACAAGGAGACAATGAACTGATATATATATATATATATATATATTTGAAGCTTCTGAAGCTAGCTGTTCCCAGATTGTTGACAGGAGCCATTCTGATGCGATTTAGAAGCGAAATGCTTCACAGTGTCTTTGTCATAGTTCCAGGGACTGTTGAGTCTGTTTTGCTTCGCAGCATCTTTGCTTCTTTAGAAGTGTTCCTCCTTGTGTTGCTGTAACTATCAGATGCGGCTCCTTTGTCTTTCCTCTGTATGCTTGCCGTGCTGTGACTGGTCTAGTTCTTGCTGATTTGCACACTTTCGTTGGCTTTCTTTTCCTGCTTCTGTATGATGATGATAATGATGATGATAATCTTGTCAACCATGTTTTCTCTACTGTCCTGCGAACGGTCTTCTGTATTTGTAGCCTCTACCCTCTCTAACAAGATGCTCATCTCTTGTTCTTAGATGGCCATTGTTTTCACAAGGCCTTTATTCAATCAGCTCAGCAATTGAGCTTCGCTACGACTTGTTGGTTTATGTGTCGCTCCAGCATTGAAATGTTTCTTCACATGGCCTTTAGTGTCACGTCTTTGGCGTCGCCAGTCTTTTATTCGATGCCTTAGTGGTTGACAAATGGGAGTTTCCGGAAATAGGGACCCTAATGTAGTACCCTAAATAGTAGGATCCTCATTATAAGGACCCCAAATAAGGTACCCCTAATTTTCGGAAACTCCCAAATAGCACCCATAAGCCACACAGGCCCCATTCCACTCGGATAAGAAAGAAGCCCTGGCCGCCCCAAAGGAGGCATTGGCCTCTTAGATGCCACTCGTCGGGACTTGGGCGCCGGCTTGGGGTTGTAGTTCGTTCTTATTCTCTTTGTGGCTCCTAATATAGGACCCTAAATAGTAGGATCCCGATTATAAGGACCCCAAAATATGGTGGCTGGGCTTGGGCGCCAGAATCTCTGTCATTCGGGGTCCTTAGGATGTGAACTTTAGGACTTCAACCTGGGATTAGCAGGAGATGGTACTTGGAGGCTGATAGGGCGGAGCAAGACGCAGTTCTACCACAGGCAATTTTTGAATTTTTCACACACTTTCCGCCGCGATTCTTGCAAGAGGAACTGAACTGGGTAATGGAAGCATCCCCTTTCGGGTTTCGGATGTTGGGGTCGTTCGGGTTTGATGGCTTGTGACTTTAAGGCCTGAAACTTGCATTTCCCTTTCTTAAACGTGGAACGAATGGAGAAGCTGCCCAAGTTGAAGATGAAGTGCCCGTGCCAAGACATCTTCAACATGCGGTAGGACATGGGCGTCAGCTACAGTTCACCTAGACTTATCGCATAGGCACAAGAAAAGGTCTATCTCAAAGACGAGGTGTTTGTGAAGGGACCCAGGCTTTAGGGCTGGGAAGAGATCGTCCGGTTATTGCGGTTCGCTCCATGATCTGCTTGCTAAGGACGACTGAGCATGGACCACGCAAAGACGAGAATTCGCTGCTGTAGGAAAGCAAGACCAGTTTTACAGAGGGAGCTTTGCCACATTTCAGGCTGCAAAGGGCCACTAGCCCCTTGAGCTGTCAGAAGTAATAGGGCCCAAGATTTCGAGCCGCGAGCTGACCGAAAGCCGCAAGGGCATTCAGTAAGTTGAAGGGAGAGATGGCAAAGCCCTGAGCCGCACCGCGCGCAGTGCCCTTAGTCATGCTGAAACCTTGCTGAAGGTGCCAGGGGCGTCTTCTTGTCCTCTGGGCGGTTGTTGCCATGAAGCCTACAGGCCTAGTAGCAGCGGCAGCAACAGCAGGTGCAGGGTGGTAGTGAGTCGTGGTGGCAGTGGTAGTGGTAGAGGTAGAGGCAGTGGCAGTGGCAGTGGTGGTGGTAGTGGTGGTAGTAGTAGCAGTTGTAGTAGTAGCAGCAGCACCTACCACAGTGGTGGAAACAGTGGCAGCAGCAGCAGCAGAAGGAGTAGTAGTACCGGTCGTCGTTGTCGTAGCAGCAGCAGGTGCAGTAGTTCTCGCAGTAGCATGGAAGCAGTTGTCGGGCATGAGTATTGCCGTCATGTTTGCAGTAGCATCGCGGGCGGGCTGTGAAGACGGTGATGGGCCGTAACGGGTTAAGAATGAGGGTGGAGAGAGTCGAGCAAGCTAGTGTAAGCACTCGCTGCTCATCGGTCAAGCGAAGAGTATCCAAAGCCGACCAACGACCAAAGACCTCGCCTGCTGCTGTCGCGAGCACTGTGCTGCCACAGTGCCGTGCAGCGGTCGCTCTGCTTCAGTCTCCAGTGCATTTACGAACTGGGGCAAAATCCGCTCTGAAGAGTTTCGTTGTTTGTTTTGAGGATCTGAAGAGCGACTGAACATAGCAACGGCGAAGCTGAAGCGCTTGAAATGTTGGCTGTCCGAACCCTCTGGCTCTGTATTTGGACCGCAGCTATTCGAAGCTTTCCGCGTTTGCATCGAACCGGTGATGCGACCTTGGGCTCGAGCTTGCGTTGAAACTAGAGATAGTGGTGCTTTCAAGAAGAGCTGCTGGGAGACAGCGTCTCAGTCTGGATCCTGGTGGTTTCCCAGGAGCTGAAGCAACAAGCTTGCCTATTTCAACGCCTATCTTTCAAACAGGGGTGAGAAGTTTAGAGGAATGTCTGCGAACTGTCATGCAACGTACAGAAAACATAGTGCACCCCCTTTCGGTACGATGAGCTACACTGCCATGCAGCGGGTAGAGATCATCATGCATCACAGGATTCTGTCCATCACGCTGTGCATGATTGTGTATGACACAATGCGTTTGTTCCATGAAGATTAGCAGATAGTCTGTCTGCAGCTTCGTCTGGAGCCATACAGCATTCTGATACAGCATGGTCACAGCAGGATGCAGTATGAACGTGAGCAGCGTGGCGCCACGCCATGTCCGCGCTTGTACGGTGGTCTCGATTTCGCATGATCTGCTTCGTATATATACATATATATATATATACTCATATACACATCTATCTGTGTGCGTGTGTGTTGTGTGATTGCAAACTGTGCTGCTTGGACTTCTCACTGCCTGACATGCTTACATACATGTCTATATTACTATATCGCTTCTGCCACCAAGACGCAGACCCTTCAACCTGATCGCGGGTATGTACTTCACATAAGGAGCGTATGTTGACCCCAAAGGGCCTCACCCTGAATGCAGTGGAGCAATGAAGAGCTTTCCGGTGATGCGTGCCCAGGCAGCCGCGCCCGCCCACGCGTTTCACTATGAGCCTCAGCAGCCCTCGTGAAGGATGTGCCAAGACGATTTGAAGTTTGGGGATGTGGGGGCAGTTGCAGAAAGTTCCAACGGCTGTCATCAATGATTCGTATCACCTCTGCCGGAATCCCAACCAAACTGTAGAAGCAAGTAGGACCGACCTGGGGAGCAGCATCACGGATATGGGGGTTTCCGAACATAGGGGACCCCACTCACAAAGTGCCCTGAAAATAGTGTGATCCTTACTATAAGGACCCCAAATAAGGGTACCCCTTCTTTTCGGAAACTCCCATATGGCTTCCTTCTTCCTCTCTTGTGTTGCTTCCAGTCATGCTTAGTCTGCGCGACGCTGGTCGCTTGCAGTGGCAGTGTACACTTGTCGGACCAGGTCAGGGCAGCAGAGCACTCTGTAGTGCCATGTACTGTCTACAAAAGTTTACCGTTCTTACTGGCGCATTGTGTACAAGTCGAAGCTACAACTCTGCAACTCTTTTCTTTCGACGCTTTGCGGTGGTGTTGACTGGTGCTTATGCATGTCATCCTGCTCTGCAGAACGAGATTCAGTCGGTTTGATGCAGTCCGCAATGCGTGGAGAGTGGAGAGACAGGCGTTGAAGGAATTGGCATCTGGCTGGTCAGTCTCCGTCTTTTCCTGGATTGCACGCGGTTTATCTGCAGGACGATTCTCCTGGCCTTTGACCAAAGCGAAGGCAACGCTCGAGGCGGGTTGTGGCTAGAAATCGCCACGGCAACAAAGCTGCATCTTCAGCTAAGCATGCTGCAGTCTGAAACTGCATCACGGGAAGCGTTGCGCCGATGTGACAAGAAGCCCCCAAGTCACGTCTGCAACTCTGTCTGCGCCAAGAGCTGGTGCAGGCCACAACGAGCCTCAGGAGACTTGTTGCGAGACTGCTCAACTGCATCGGCACGATTGTCAGATTCTATGTGTACTGTTGCCGTGACAGGGCCAGTCTACCTACGTATCTACCTACATAAGTACATATGTAGATGATTACACGCACGCATACACATCCATACATACGTACGTACATGCATACATACTTAAATGCACACACACATGCATGCATGCATTGCATGCATGCAGACATCCACACATACCTACGAACAGACACATGTCTATGCATCTATGTAGCTGCCTGCCTATCGGTCTATCGGTCTATTTGTCTGTCTAGCTATTTTTCTTTGTGTCGTCTTTCCGTCCCAGTGAGACAGAGCAGAAAGAACGAATGAAAGAACGAAGCAGAGACTCGCATGAGTTGGTGTTGCCAGTAGAACTTCCGATGCGATTAAGATCTTTCACAAGGCTGCCGAGTTTTGTGTTCTTGGACGTTTTCAGAGACTTCTTGCGATTGGAACGGCACTCTCGCGGGAGAAGACTTTCATGAAGGTGGAGAGTGCCAGCCGTGTTGAATCTTGTAGAAATGAATCCTGCTTTTTCGGCGGACGCGGCCCACACAGGATTGCGGCGGGCTGCTTGGGGAATATACACGTGTTTATGGTCATGTCTAATTCATGTGTGCATGTACGTATGTATGCATGCATCTAGGTTGTCGGCGTTGTCGGTATGTGCAAAAAAAATTGTGCATACGTACAGAATATGTGCGTATGGCGTATGCTGGAGCGTGTGAGCTGGCTACTATAGACCTTGACAGTGAACCACTCTGCCAAGTTCTTTTCTGAAGCCTGTCCCACATTCACCCATCGCACAGGAATTTGCCCACCTCGCCGATCTCCATGCGCAGACGTTCTTCCGACGCCGGGGCCATTTTGCTTGAAGAGTTTTTCAACATGTGGCTTCGTTGGGGCTCGATCATCCCCAGGATCTGTTTCTGTGCGGTCTGGCTTGGTGTCCAGGGTTCAATGATGCGAGATCGTGCCAGAGTTTGGCCATGCTTGCTTGGCTGCCAGTCAGGCAAACTCCCAAGTGTTTCAACATCAAAAGCCCCAAGCTCCTCCTCGAATCTTCTGGGTCTCACACGAGCTCTTCAGGTGGCGACGAAGTCCTGCCCGATTGCTCCAGTTACAGCCAGGCTGGCGGCAGTAGCTTCAAGCGGGCCTTACAGTCAGTCTCCTGTTTGCGATCAGCCACCCGAGTTCCCATCGACGGACCCTAAGTGCTCCACCTCGTGCGGCTGTCTGCTCCCGCAGCAGGATCGCACCAAGACCTGAATGGCACTCTTTGTTTCAGCTCCTTCGAACCCACGAGTTTTTCCCGCCCTCCAAAAAGCTAATGACCCCGAACCCTGCAACCATAGGCACCTTCATCCTCAAAGCCTTGACATGCCCCTACCAGGGAGTCCACAACCCACCTCCGCCGGAACAGCGCTTCAGCGGCGTTGGAGACGCCGCGGCCGACACCGTGTGCGTTCCGTGGCTTGCAGATGGCCCTTCGCATTTTTTCAACATCAGCGACTCCCGGATTTCTATAGTTAAACACCCTAGGCCCCAAAACCAGTTCGGAAACTCTCCGAATTTCCTGGCAGCTTTAATCCCGTGACTTGACCCAGGTTTGCTACAGAGAGTTACAAGGATGCGCAGGCCGGCGGGAATTTCAAGGGCAGCTTCCTGATTTAGGACTCACAGGAGGGATGGGAACAGAGTCCCTACAGGCACATGCACCCCGCACGAATCTGACAAGCGGCTTTCAAAGTTTTGAGGAGCCTTAATCAGAATAGGGTTTTTGGTCCCCCCCCCTTGGATCTCACTTTTTCGTGTGTCTGGGAGCCCCACCGCACGACAATGGTGGATTCTTGAGGGGAGGGCTAGCCGATGGACCATTACCATTCTGTGGTTGCGTGAACTCCACTCTGGCCCAATTGAGTTCAATCGCGGCCGCTTGAGTTCAATTGGGGGCAGGATTGAAGATTTCCTGGAAAACTTTCCCGGGAATCTTCAATCTTCAATCCTCACCCCGATTGAGTTCAATCGGGGCGGATTGAGTTCAATCGGGGGTCGGGTTGAAGATTCAAGATTGAAGATTTCCTGGAAAACTCCACCAGGAATCTTCAATCTTCAATCGGGGGCCGGATTGAAGATTGAAGATTCCCTGGAAAACTTTTTCCGGGAATCTTCAATCTTCAATCTGGCCCCCGATTGAGTTCAATCGGGGCCGATTGAGTTCAATCGGGGCCGCTTGAGTGCAATCGCGGTTCATCCCAAGTGGGCAAATCATTCTATCAGGCATTCGATGGTGCATTCCAAGGGTATTCTACAAAGTATTCTATAAGGTTTTCTTTACGGCTTTCTATGCGGTACTCAGAGGGTATCAGACGCAGGGGGTATTCTGTAAGGTAGTCTCAAAGTTATTGCAAATGGTATTCTATAGGCCGATAAAGGACATACTATGGCGTATTTGTTGTGGGTATTATAAATGGAACCCCATAAGGCGTTGTACAAAGGATGGTGCAAGGCATAAGCACAACGTAAAAGTTGTATTTTCGAAAGTAGTCTGTATAGGCTTTGGGGTATTCAACAAGGTTCATTAAAAGGTATATAGGGGGTTTTCTATAATCCAGGTTAAAGAAGGAGGAGTATTTTGCAAGGTATTCTATAGGCTATTGTTTTTGATTTCCTCGGTTGGCACATAGCAGGTAAAATGCAGAGCATTCTGCTCTCGAGTTTCCCCCATTAATCCGTTATCTACAAAATATTCTACACCGCATTCTATGGTGCATTCCACGGGGATCTTATAGACTATTCCATAGGGTTGTCTTTAGGACTTCTTATGGGGTACTTCGAGGGTATCATAGCTAGTTTGTAGGGTATTGCAGATGATATTGTATGGGGCCAGTAAGGGGCATATTTGTAACGTATATTTTGGGCGCTCTATAGGGTACTCCATAACGCATTATATGCGGGATTGTGCAAGGCATCAACATAAACGTCGTATTCTATAACGTAATGTATAGGCTACAGGGTACTCGAAGGTACACATAAGGTATAACGGGGATATTCTATAATGCATTACCTAGGGTCACGTGTACGATTTTTTTGAGGTTTGTGGTATTCTCTAGATTATTCTTTTCGATTCCTGGATCGCCCCTAGAAATGACTGACCCAATAACTTGTTTTTTCATGAGGGGTTCTCAGATCTTGGGCTCGTCCTGATTATTGTCCTCATATATATCCTTTGTTGGAAAGGTTATCTATAGGTATTCTTACTTCCCAAATACCCTTGGGGGAAAACAGTTTAAACTTTCACAATAAGACTACCTTATAAGATCTTATAAGGGGCCAAAAGTTAAAAGTTTGCCACTAAGAATTATATGGGTTCACGGTGTATATACTGTATACAAGAGCTATCATATGCACGGCCATAGGGGCACTCTATAAGGTCTTCTACAGAATATTCCAGATGGTCTTCCATGAGGCGCACGACATATAGACGGTACTGTGTGTTCCATAAGGTATTTTGTGGGGTGCTATATGTGGTATTCTGAAAGGTACTCTAGGTATTCTACGGATATACCGGCTATGCCTGAAAGTAGATGATAAGGTATTCTAGAGGCTCTAGGGTACTCAATAAGGCATATATAAGGGTATTGTATATCAGTATATCCTATATGAAGTTTTAAAATACATAGAGGAGGTATTCTAAAGGGAATTCTATATAGTGTCTTGTATTGAGTGTCCAATAGGTTATATGTAATATAAGGAGGTGTATGATATGTATGTGGTCTTGTATAAGGTATTCGACAGGACAGGATATTTCAGATGGATTTCCATAGGATATATAGGTTGTGAGAGTGGAATTTTGTAGAGTATTCGAAAAATGTATTCTAAAGGGCATTATATTGGTCAAACACAAGGTATTGCACCCTGGAGACATCGACAGATTAAGTGCTCGCGGACATTATCTACAATCTCGATGCGTCTTATTTATGGGAGGCGCAGAAATGGGATCCTGCTTGCATATCTATACCTGTCGTGATATTATGTTTTATGAGATGACACACATTATATCTGCTCTCCTGTTGCGTGTTACCGCATGCAAAAACCTATACACACGCAGAACATAGATGCAAGCTTGCGTGCTTTTGCAACACGAGAAGAAGTCGTATGCGAATGCATGTCGTGTGGAGAAATTCAGGGCTGTACATGAAGAAAATGCAGAATGTAGGATCTGCGAAACCCTTGATCAAATCGAAGCTTATTTAGTGAAGAATTTACAAAGAGAGCGGAGTACGTTAAAGAATATCCACTATTTCGCATCCGGCTCTCAAACACACGAAAACGGTAGATCCTTGAGGGGGGGCGGAAGCGTTTTTTTTATACCATAATCATAACAAGGAGCCCCAAAAATAGTAGTGGTAAGTATTCATTCAACGACCGCGGCCGTCGATCTTTAGCGTCCGACTTGCGAGGCGGCTGGTTTGAGCCACTTGCGTAACACAGCACGATGCCGGAGCAAGATGGCCAGGCTCTCAGTTTGAGCAGCTCTGTGCGGAGACAGCGCCCGCCGGACGGTGATGAAGGAGACGATAGTATAGTACGAACATGGGTAGCGCAGCCAGAGACTGCAAGACTTCCAACTTCCAGCTGTCAAAGGGCCAGCAGCTTCACAGATACAAACACGCCGACACACCCGCTCCTTGAAGTCGCTTGACCCGGCCATCCGAGTGCCGGAAGTCATATACCCTTCAGGAAGCCCGAAAGTATCAAAATCCGAGAGCCCAAACCTTGACGTTATATAGCCTTAGACTCCCGAGACAAGACCCTTCGACAAGCTGAGTTTCAGAAGCCGAACGAAGCTTCTTCCAAAAGGAGGCTCGATGCTTGAGCTCTTGCCTAAGGTGGTTCCGGAGCCACTCGGAGAAGTTCCACCCTGGGCAGCCGATGTGGCTCCACAGTCGAGGAGCCAAGCGGGTGCAAAGGGTTGTAAAGGGAGACTCCGATAGGAATTTGAAACGCGAGAGTCCCATTCCGATTTTTCAGCCTTCAACCTCCCATCTGCAGGGCAAGGAAGGGGTTGAAAAGGGCCCAGACTGAAACAGCCCTGCCTACAGTCGTATAGCCAGAAGCGCAGTTAAGAGACTTACATCAAGAACAAGAATCATACACAAAAGCAACAATGATGCGAATGATGACACCTCTATCTTACTGCCCCAGCATAGAAAGTTGGTAGCAACCGACATGCCGCAAATTCCAGGAGATGGAGCTGCGACAGCTCCAAGAGAGCCTATCAGAGTCAGGTGCCCCCGCTAGGATCTGCTTGCATCTGAGTCGCCGAAGTGCTGCCAAGGGGATATGCCAGTTAAGCTTTGTGGGATTTGCGGGTTTTGGGTTTTGGGTGACAGGTTCAGCACCGGCTGAAGGGTCTGAGGCTTTAGCAAGCAGCGCTGCCACTGGACGTCAGGTCCTTCGTGTTGACACTTTGCGCGATTATCATGATTCTGACTGTACCAATGCATGACCAACCGCGATCTGTGGAGGCTGGCTAGACGGCCAGAAAGTGTGGCTGCAGAGTAGTAGTCAGATCTGGTGGTTAGAGGCTTCTTCCCAAATGCCAGATCCTTTGGCACTTCAGCCAAACTGTCAAAGCCACGATCCAGCTCCAGTGTAGGTGATGGCCTCCCCCACGTCCTCCGTGGCATCAACGCGAACACCGAGTCCTGGGATGCCGCAGGCGTTTCTTCAGGGTTCCACCAGGTGCTGTGCGCTGGTGTCTAGGGATCCGTTTTAGGAGTTCGCCACAGGCCGCAGGAGTGCTCCAAGCTGGTTTCTGCAAATCCGATCCACAGGGTTGAAAGCAGGCAGGTTTTCGAGATATCCAGAACTGCGAGGCCGTTGGGCCTGTCGCGATGTGGGCTCCGTCCTCAGTCGCCGAGCCCTGGGGTTCAGGGATCTCGCCGCGTCCGAGGGCGCTGCCATGGCTTTGGCCCCTGCAGTCCGAATTCCGCTGTTTTCACTGCCGTACGAACTCGAATCCCAGCCCTTCGAAGCTGGGGAGGCCGAACGTGTTCGACGAGCAGAGCAGGCGATGCTCCAGAAAGACTTAACCATTGAATGCCTGGAGGCGGGCCAGGGGTTGTAGTCTTGAGACTTATCAACGGCTGATTCCCCTGAGCACCACAATCACAGGAGCGTGTCCGTCAGCTGGAGCAGAGCAACAAGAGAGGCAGCCAGAGTCGGCACCTCAGTGAAAGCACGTCTTGTCAAACTTGTGGGCAAAACAGGTGGGGGCATGCCTGGGCAATGTGTGATTTCATCGGTTTCATGAGACCACGCTTTGCTTTTCCGGTCCGAGCTCTAGCTTGTGATGGTGAATCCGGTCCCAAGTCGGTGGGGCAAGGCAGCAGCACGAGCAGCTCTCTCACATCTATTCGAGGCCAGGGTTGCATAGGCCTTCTGCCGGTACCAACATGCGAGGTCCACAAGTCCGGCCGGAGTGCCGGTGTCAGGAATTCAGGTGTCTTACTGTAAGACAACATCCAGGGCCATCGTGTTTGTGATTATAGGACAGTCGACAATCGAACGTAGTCATGTAGACTGCTGTAGCCTGAAGTTAGCCTGTAAGTGAGACGGAACCCAGCGGCTGGATTGTGTACGAGCTCCGCAGGACAGATGCCATATCAGGGAGACGATGAAGCCTCCGATGCAGGCCTCTTGCAATGTCGACCGCGCAACTCCTCTCCTCCGTAGACTCAGCCTAGAAGAAAAACGTGCATTGGCAAGAACAGCAGCAGCAACAGCTCAAACAATTCAACCTTCTTTGTCCATTTATGCATCCGCTTTTGCTTGCTTCTGTGCTGTATGTGTGTACGAAAGAGCTTGTGCACCTCGCAGGAAGCTTGAATGCCGAGATGGATGCAGCCGTCGCCAAGAGCAGCTCCGCCCGTAAGTATTGCAGGTGCTTCTTTCTGGGTTCGAACCTGTGAAGCGAGGGGATATCCAACCTGGGATAAGTACGTGGTTCATCTTTCCCTACCTGTGTCGGTGCTTTATCTCAGGCGAAGCACTGCTCCGGAGGATGCCCGAACCCCATCATCCAAAAGGGTTTCTTGAAAAGTTCGGTGATTCGGCTTACGGGGTTTAGGCTGTGCTTGCTGGGAAGTTCGGCGCGCGAGTCCGCAGCAGTGGTGTTGTTGGACATCGTAATGAATGGCAGATAACGGCAGAAGCGGGGGTGGCAGGCGTCTTTGCTAACGCAGCAACGAGAAGCGTGGCAGTAGTGCCAATAACTAGGCGAGGAGGAGGATTTACAGTGGAATCTGTGGTAGCAGGTCGCCGCAGCAGCTGTTGCTGTCATGCTTGCATTCAAATGGGTTCTTCCTTGCAGCATGTACCTTTCAGGTTCGGAGCCGATGCCATGTCCTAATCCGAAGCATTGATACAACAGGTCGGCACTCGATTACTCAGCAGAGCCAGAGCTGCAGTGGGCGGCGATGATGGCAGCACACGAGGAGAGCAAGGACTGAGACGGGGAGACATGGTGGGGTAGATGGTAGCATGGAGTGGAGCAGCTCAAGTAGCCTTCCGCAAGGCTAAAGGCTTTTGTTTGAATGGCATTGAATCGCTGCCCCGCATGTCCTGCTGACAGGCTCGATTATGTAGTTTTATTGTTTCCAAGCCTGGAAGCTCGAAACAGCCACAACACTGACTCGTCAGGAGAAGCTATCGCAGATTGAACAGTTGGTTCAGCGCCGGATTGCCCTCAGCTCGGGCAGAGACGTTCATGCACCATCACCCCCAAGAGAAGGTACCGCAAAAGCACAAATTCTGCACCCTCTCTTCTTTCTCGTCCGACTCTTCAGATTTTGCAGCAGTTGTTCTTGTGTCCCTAGCTGCTGCGGTGATGTCAGCCTTGAGCCTGGCCGCGTCATGCCCAGGAGCAGCTGAAACCAGGGGATCGTGAGCTGAAGATTTGTCGGGCTGTGCGCCACCGCCTTCTTCCTTGTCAGCATCCGAAAGTGCCGCTAGTCGCATTATCAATCGTAGTGCGCATCGTCGCAGTATTACAACACTGTCTTTATCGGACGACAAAACCCTGCCAGCTGGTCAGGTACGTGGCGTTTGCGTTTCGTCCCAGAGATCCGTGCATGGTGCTGAGACTGGGTTTGATTGGTGTTTTGATGCATTCAGTGGAAGCGTCTGCTTGCTCTACAGAGTCGTGCAATGTTCGTTGCTCACAGACTTGTCTCTAATCTTCATTCTCAATGCCAGCTTGGCAGGCCTAGGAAGTGGGGCCGCAGCCGCTGATTCCAGGCTGCGTCGCTGATGTTGTATAGGACCGGGTCTAGGAGCACATGGGCTATATTGGCTGGTTGTATGTTGAGCATGTCATATGAATCGATGAACCACCCGGTGGCTAGTAAAAAAGTGCTGAGGGCAAAGTGGGTGGTCGACGCCACCGCTTTTTGCTTACAGATTCAGATTGCAATTTACAGCTGCCTCGGAGAGGCTGTTGCCTCGGAGAGGCAGTTGCAGCGAAGTGGTGTCTGGGCCGCTTGCATGGCCTACACTTCCAGACCTCTTGGAAGTTGTACTGGCCGGATGCAGCGGGTCTTGTCCTGGGTCATATGATGTCATATGCAAGCCGAATGAGAGTACCTGACGAGGCTGAGTGTAGGAAGAGCTGCAAAGCAAAGCGGCACAGACGCCTTTACCGTCTGCCTCTACTGTCGACTTCGCGCGTAATCGAGGTTTGCATGGTGCACTTGGAGCAAACTGTCCCTTCCGGATACCCTGGGAGGGGCTGTCATCGTTTCTGTCAGCAGACAAAAGGAGCAGCCGATTCTAGTGCCACCCGAAGTGCCAACCATGCCACGTGTTTCGACCCGTGAAACACGCAGGCCATCAGCCATTGAAATTGGATTCCGCGGAGAAGAGATTGCACACCACGTGACGATGTTTTTAGACACCGTCACGTATGCAAAACCCCAATCACCTCGCTGTAGGCTCCATTGCCAGGTGTCGATAGGAAGTCGCCTTGGATTCAGGGCCTGAATTTGGGACAATCAGAGCTAGCGATTTGCATGCAAACAGGGCAGCTTTACGAGTCTTGATGCGAGCAGTATGTGTGTCTAAGACAGTTGGTAGAGAACCCTGAGCAGCATGTTGCAACGGCCAGATGACAGAGGGTTTATCAAGACAGCAGCACTGGTTCTTGACGATCCTGGCGGCGCTTCTCGAGTAGGCCATCCCAGCTCTTCTCGACGCTGTTGAGACCCGCATCATCTAGAGATGCTTGACCCTGAACACCCACCTAAGTACACCCGAAGCCTGAACAGAAAAAACGGCCTAGGGCCTACACGCCTAGACTACATCATAGAGCCCTTGCATACATGGTAGCCCTCTTTTGTAGTAACCCCTTACAGTAACTCTTTTCGTCACCCCTCTTGAGACGCTTAAAACGGCCTAAAACTCCAGAAGCTCGCTGTATTTCGCTGCTTCCTTAGAGCTTGGGAGGCCTGGCGGCTTTTCCCCAGGGTGCTTGCACTTCTTGGTTCTCCGGTGTAGGCTTAGGGTTTAGGGTTTAGGGTTTAGAGATTAGAAGTTTAGGGTTTAGGGTTTAGGGTCAGGGTTTAGGGTTCAGGGTCAGTATCTGTCACGAATATGGTTTTGAAAGCAAGCCCTGGATCGGAAACGTTTCCGAATCCGTCAGCCAAACCAGAGCCGACCTGATGCGAGCTTGACCCGTAGGTTCTGTTTCCATCTTTTGAGAGGACAAAGTGCCGTCTTCAAGGGGGCGTGGGGGGGAGGGTAGGGGGAGGCCTCAAGGAGCACTGCTGCAATCTTCCAGGTGCCTGCAGCTGCAAGATTGTGGTAAGACATCTCGTGCTCACGCATTGGACGCCGAAGGACCGCAGTGAACTACGGTGGAACCGGGATGTAGGATGTGAGGCCTGGGATCTCGCCGGTCCTGTCGCGGCACCATTTTTGTGTTCGTTTTGCTGGCTCGAACATGATATCTGCCATGGAGTTTCTGCGTAGGCACCTATGCGGAAGCATCAGCGGCGTTTGGCATGAAGTTCGTGAAGCACTCTTCCAGTGCAGTCGTGCAAAAGGCAAGATCAAGCCGTCAAGCCTGTCGTGTTTTGCAGTGGGTTCTTGGTTGCATCCTACTACTCACAAAAGACGTGCGCAGGCTGATCCCGAGCTGAACGACCACACGGTAATCACAAGAAAGCTGAAATAAAGAGCTTCTACACAGCCCTGTGGCCCGCTTGGTCAACCCCGAAGCTTCACCCGACGACCCTGAAGCATCGACCCCAAACCTTAGCCTTGGAAAACTCAATTCTTTAACATCGGGCGGCTGTGATCCAGCTTCGCTTGCGCGATGAGCTTCACGCCACCTGAGGTGCCTTGAAGGGTGCTTGGAAGGTGTGTAGGAACTCCCAGTTCGCAAGGCTGTCCTTGCCTAGGGTGAGGCTTGCGAAACCCGCAATTAGACGAGGTGTCGAAGGACACGGCTTCAAGCACGGCTGCTGGGACAGGCCCGACATGAGTCATGTCTGCTTCTTACGACGCTGGCCCACGCACCCGCCGGTTTGTCATTGCACCCGTACTTTCTCTCACTCTTGGTATCGGCTCTCTGAGTTTCAGATTTCGGAAGGAGTCAGCACTGCACACAGATGATTAGCATACGCGGTCACAGAACTGCAGGTAAATCAAGAGAGCGCCGTCTGGTGGTCTGACATGCCACTGGCACAGTCTTCATTGGGCAATGCATGCACTAGCATCACTGGCCCTGCAATTATGTCCAATCCCAAAGGGTTGGAAAACAGAGAGCGCGCCCCGGGAAGTTCCTATAGGCACAGGGAAACACACATAATGACATGCGCAGGTCAGAACACCCCTACCGGAGCTGCGAGCACGCGATCGGATGCCAAAGAACCAGCGAGGCCCGGTAGCTGACGGGTTAGGGCGTTACACCTTACTATCAGCAGATTCGCAACGGTCCATGAGGGTTTATGAGGGCCGACTCGTGAGTGTGAAGAGAAGCCTTGTAGCTCAAGGTCGCAATCATAGCTATCGGTGATCATTCTCTCATTCTCAAGACACTCAAAACCGCAAAAACCATGCCGCGCGATGAGGCTGCGCACGTCACTACATGCTGACGCCACTTTGCAAGGGAGCGACCACGTTTTCCTCCGCACTTACTCCGGCTCAAGCCGTCAAGTACATCACTGAGCCGCTCCGTGCATAGAATCATAGAAGCCGTCCGAAACCAGAGCTGAAACCGCACCTCTCCAGAGGGACCCACTGGCAAGTTCGTTTGAAGGGGAACGAGTGTAAGTCAGCAGATGCCGTCATGCCTCCCGCCAGTGAGCAGGTTCGGCATCACGCATCCGATTACTACACAAGCGCCCGTCTCAGTCATTGAAAGTTTCTGCATGGAGACTGGGGGCCTCTCAGATGTTTCTAGTACTTGTGTTGCATGCAATATCAGCCTTGCTTTTGGTGTGGTCCACTGCAGTTGCAATCCCGGGCAAGCATCTGTCCTTCCCGAGGAGGCCACGGAGGCAGAAGTGCTCGCCAGTGAGATGCTGAAGCAGGCGAGATGCCCGGAATTTCCGCCGTCGGTAGTGGGCAGTAGAAACAGATAGCGGATATCGAAGAAGAGCACTGGGAAGAAGCAGCAGCAACTGCAGCAGAATCTGCTCCTGCTCCTGTTGCCCCCTCTTCCTGCTGTGGTTGATGATGCTGATGATGGCGACATCGATAATTGTGGATGATGAGGACGGTGATCGTGAATGTCATCGTCAACGTCGGCGTTGGTGGCGATGATTTGGAGGGGGATTGTGGTGATGATGACGGCGGTGACGAAGCAATCGCAAGAAACATGAGCCTGCAGCCCTTCCTGCCTTCCCCACGCGCCAGGAGCTCGAGATCGACTTCCCGCGGGAGACTGCCCAGGGCCTTGCGAAACGCGAGGAGGTGCTCCAGGACAGCCAGTTCCATGAACCACGGCCAATATATAGTAGAGGTAGTAGCAGGTAAACACCGACAACAGCAACAGCGACAACAGCAGCAAGAGAAACAAGAGCAACAAGGGCAGCGACTGCAACAACAGCAACACCAGCAACACCAGCAACAGCAGCAACAGCAGCAACAGCAGCAACAACAGCAGCAACAGCAGCAAGAGCAAAACGAGCAACAAGAGCAACCAGAGCAACCAGAGCAGCGAGAGCAGCGAGAGCAGCAGGAGCACCAGCAGCACCAGGAGCACCAGGAGCGGAGCAGGAGGAGCAGGAGAAGCATGGGGAGCAGGAGGAGCAGGAGGAGGAGGAGGAGCGGGAGCAGGAGCAGGAGCAGGAGGAGGAGAAGGGGGAGGGGTAGGGGGAGGAGTAGGAGCAGGAGCAGGAGCAGGAGTAGGAGTAGGGGTAGGAGTAGGAGTAGGAGTGGGAGTAGGAGCAGCAGTAGTGGTATACTAGATGGTACTGGTAGTAGCACTTAGACTGTTGCGGGACTCGTTGCAGGAGCTTCAGCGCATCATCTCCGAGTGGATATCGGAGGAGGGTCGTGCACAAGGCCGTTTGTTGTTGGCTTGATGATGAACCTTTTCGTTGCAAACAGCGCGACGGGGCTAGACTGAAGTTCGCGGTTCTAACAACATTCTTACTCACTATAGCGCACCGTACTATAAAGGACATACCCCGACAGTATCGACGTGTTGTACCATATTACAAGGACAACAACAGACGCTGTGGTTGTTTTCCTGAGAACCAAATGCAGGCGGGGTGGGGGCACGGGCTTCCGGCGGGCCCAAGGCAGCCGTGTTTTGCATGCTAACGGCTTTTAGGCAAGTTAAAGCTAGAGATTCTGGGTTCCAAGAGGGATGTTGCGCTATTCGGCATTTAGGCCTCGGGGTGCCCTGACATCTCCGGAAGGCGTTGAAGCCAGCATGTCGGCGAAGATCGTGACAGTGGGCTCCTACAGGTGCCGTTCATCCGGGAGTTTGACATCACACAGTTTATAAGCATCTATTTCCGATGTTTTGTTGTATCTGATCGGTTCTTCTGAAAAGATTTCGCCAACCTCCAGGCTTGGCGTGGTGCAGCCTGGCAGCGACATAGACACCCTTTGCATCGCACCACCTCACGTGACGCGGGAGGCGCAGCGACTGCACAGAACCGCCGATGAGCCGCAGTACTAGAGCAATGAGCGTTAGAATCCACTCACAAACCCTGAACTCATGCCAGAGCGTTCGCAAGCTTCGAGCTCGGAAGCCACTGTGTCCCTTGAGTCAAGTTGAT